TACCAAACTGGATCCATCAGATGCTCTTTTTCTGATTGTTCTTTTCTCTTCAGACAACAATTTTTGTCAGCAGTTGTGAAGAAAGGAGAACTTGTTGAATAAACCAGGGCAAGATTTTTCTTCTCTTTCACCCTTGAGGCTTAAATTTTGTAGTCATTGTGAGCTTTCCTGCCTCTTTGGGGTTGAGTTTTGGTTGTATGATTAAACGTACAGACTGAAGGAGTTTCCTATCCTATATCATGCCTCTGTCAATGGGGTTTGCCTGGTCAGCACAGTAGCATGTATTTTAAATAGTAGGATCTGGAAGCAAGAGCCCATGATCATATTGAATACAAAATGCACGCCAGAAAAAATTTAAATTGCTAGAAAATTACAGAGAAAGTGACATTGTAATAGATATGTATAATTGGATATAATGTCACCTTCTATTATTTCCAGGTGGCAATGCTTGAATGTGGAGTTGCTGAAGCAAATAATTTATGTTATATATAACTTAGGAAGATGACAGATTTTGAGATAATTTTATTTAATGTTTAAAAGCACATTAGAAATCTGAAAGCATTGTATGTTCTGAGTTTGATGTATTTGTTAGTATTAAAGATGGTTTACATGCTACTTACTAGTCCTGATCAGCTCAGCGTAACACTCTCTGCATTTTAATACTCTCCACATTTTGTATAGCTTCTAACATAATATATGCCCAAACAGTTGCATAGTGAACATGAATAAATGTAGGTTTTAAAACTAACCCGATTCATCCATTAAATAACATTTTAACTAGTTTTTAAAACCTTACAGATAGTCCTTGACTTACGATTGCAATTGAGACAGGATTTCCCATCATAAGAAATTCTGGTTGTAAATCGGGGCACCCACATGACTGGAACTGATTTTACAATATTTTTTGTGACAATCATTAAATGAATCACTGGGGGCTTTAAGGGAATATCATGGCCTTAAGTGCAAACAGATTATTTGAAGAAACATTTTTTTTCAGAAACCTGCAAAAAAGTTTTTAAATCACAGTCATGTGACTGCGGGGTACTGTAATTGGTTGTAAAGATGAACCAGTTGCCAAGTACCCAAAATGTAGTTACATGATTGTGCATATGTGGCACAACGTTTTACAATGATCCAAAGTGCTTTACATGGTATAAACTAAAACACCTATTCTGGGTCCATCATAATTTTCAATGGTTGTTAAACAATCGGTCATAAGTTGACAACTAGCTGTATAATAGAGGAAATTGCTACTACAGGGACCATCTTATATTGATGTTTGTTAACAATATAATTTGTTGAGGGTGTTGATATGAAATGGGTGGACTTTTGTAAGGATTTTTGATTGTTTTGGGCAATTTGTCTATTTTAGGGTATATGCCTAAAAGAGCGAGAGAGTTCCCTAGTGGTCCATCTCTATTTAACTTTTAGTGCAGAAATTGTTAAACTTTATCATCTCATATTTCTATAGTCTACTCATTATGTTTGGTACTATGCACCCATTGAATATTTTTTGTTAGATTTATTATTTAAACAATGTATATGGTCACCCAATTAAAAATTCAACTCTGAACAGCTAATTTAGGATTAAAAACAAAACAAGATATACCATAAATGTAAAAGAAGCACAGCAAAACAATATAAACAAAGCCCCAAACAGGAAAAAAACAAAAAATCAAAATCTTGATCTAGGTTTCCGATTAGGCTTACCCAACATCCTAATCCAGTGCTTGGGGGAAAGCTTTGTTTTTAAAGTTTTATGGAAGGACAGCAGAGTCAGGGTCATCTGTATCTTGGCTGATCCGCTATTCTAAAGGGCATGTGCCATGACAGAAGGCATGCTTATTGAGCCTTATCAGAAGGCAGTTTCATGGAGGTGATCTAAAACTTGTCTGCTCTATCTGATCTTGTAGGATAGCAGAAATAGTTGGAGATACTGTAGATGGTTCTACAAATAAAGTAGCTCAATGCTATGAACGGTTTTATAAGTGAGAACCAGTACCTTGAATTGAAGTAGAAATCAATGACAAGCCAGTGCAGCTCATGAAGTAGTGATGTTAAATTGGCGTAATGTTCTATACCATCCCATGGTACATTCTGGACAGTAGTTTCCAGATGATGTTCAAGGGAAATGCTATGTAGAGCATGTTGCAATAGTCCAAGATATAATCAAGGCACAAGTGACTGAACAAGGCCTCCCAATCTAGGAATGGATGCAATTGATATACAAGATGAAATTGTGCAAAAGAACTCTTGCTGCTACCTGCTCTAAGCAGGAATTGTGAGTGCAAGAGGAACTTAAAATTGTGATCAAGTTCTGTCTTGGGAAATGGCAGATCTAAAGATGGAAAGTTTTCAAATTTAAGGGGGGGGGCAAGGGAACGTGGCATTAAAATCCACAGCCACACCGTTTTCCTTGGGTTGAGCAGAACTTGTTCTTCCACATCCAGACATCCACAGCCTTCAGGTGTTGGAAAAAACTTAATTTGATTGGGCAGGGATAAAGATATAAAATTACATATTATTAATATATTGATAATACTTAACACTGTGCTAACAAATATCTATGTGGCTTCATATAGATGTTAAATAGGAGCACAGAGAGAGTACAACTCTGAGGAAACCTGTAAAGCAGGAATGTAGAACTAAATCTTTCCTGCTAACATCAACCTGAACCACTTTGGAGGAAAGAGAACCACTGCAACACAGTGCTGTCATTCCTATAACAATCCAGAAGGATAACGTGATTGATGGTATCAAAAGTCACTGAGAGATCAAGAAGGGCCAGAATGAAAACCCCATTGCAGTCTTACCATGGATCATCTATAGGTATGATCTGTGTGTTTCAGTGCTACATCTAGTCCGAAACTGAAACGGATAAAATAATCCATATCCTGAAGGGTGCTCTGTACCTGCAAGCTGATCACCTCCTCAACAGTCTTCCCTAAAAAGGAAGCTTAATTCTAATCCTAACCCTAAAAAAAGAATGTTGCAGACAGGATGAAAATTGTATATTTCTTGACTGCTATAGTATAATTTAGTGTTACGGTCCAACTGCGCATGTGCGTGAACAGTTTGGCTAGTAAAGTTAAAAACAAAATATAACAGTTTGCATGATATGTGTGTGTGTTATTATTAATTTTTTTTATTAAAAGTTTTACAAATTACAATATAAACCCACCCATCCCCTCCCCCCCTCCCCCACTTCCCAGAGCTGATTACAGGGTAACAAATAAACAAACATACTCTAGCTAACATAAACCAACTAAACTATCAATCAAAACCATAATACACTTTAACTTCTTCTCAAAACAAATATTAACAAATTAAGACAAAAATAATAATACCATTAATACTATTAATAATTATCTAAAATCTATTCAAAAGCAAGATAATACTTTTCAGTTTCATACTTCTTCTGAATATAATCAATCCATCTTCTCCAAACCATAATATATCTTTCTTGTGAATGATCCTTCAAATAGGCGGAGATTTTTGCCATTTCTGCTAAATTAGACACTTTAAGTATCCATTCTTCCAAAGTAGGCAATAAGTTTTTCTTCCAATATTGCCCCACCAATAATCTTGTGTGTGTGTTATTATTGTCATGGTCCTTTAAATTAATCTTGCCTCTTGGTGACTACATGGAAATTGTTTTACCGGTACAGTCTCCCTAAGGCTGAGAGACTATGATTGGTCTAAAGTCATTCATGCCTGAAGAAGGACTAAATCAAGGGAAAGGGAAGGAATCTGCTTTTTTTGAATGAATTTCAGGAGCTAATTCTCGCGCTGCCAACGGGCTTCGAGACTGAGTCAAAACTGGGGTCACGCCCAAAGGAAGGGTGTGGCCAAAGTTTTTACCCAGTCTGCTGGGCAGGAAGGCTGTCATAGAACCCATCCATTGGACTCTACAGCCATCCTGCTGGAGAAAGCCTAGTTCAGTGATGGCGAACCTTTTAGAGACTGAGTGCCCAAAAACGCCCCGCCCCACTCTACCCCTCTGCCCGCCCCTGCTCTGCCCCCATCCCCCACCCCACCTGCCCACAGGACCACTCAACGCCTTCAGGGCCTGCTGCAGATCGCCCAGGCAGCCCAGCAGCACTATGGCAGCCACACCCTCTGCCCGCACCCTGCATGATGGGGTGTGAGGGCAAAGTCTTGTCTATGCTGCCTGGCTGCCATGACCTTGGCTGCGCTGCTCTGTGTGGGCCATGCTCGAGGGCGAGTCTCCTTCAGGGGGGCTACTGGAGAGGGGGTCGTGGGGGGAGGCAAGGCTGGGGCAACGGCACGTGTACCCACAAAGAGGGCTCCGACTGCCGCCTCTAACACCTGTGCCATAGGCTCACCACCACTGGCCTAGTTTGAATATGCTAGCCTTTTCACATTAGTCAAGAGCTTTTCCAAGTGTAAAGGGCAGAGCTTCCAGTCTCCAGTAGAGTTTATTGAGGCATAGGAGCAATATGAACATCATCAATGAGCATTTCTAGGAGTCTTAGTGTGTAGCCTCTTCTCAGAATGTTGAGTTTAGCAATTAAAATAAAATTTTGTACTAGATAGCTCTCTCTTTCTCCCATTATTTGCTTTCCTTTTCCATTTTGAACTAAGGGAAGATGTTACCACAGTGGCAAATACTACTTTGGTCCCAATTAACTCTCATTCTTTATTGCACAGTTATAGCAATATTGTCAACAATATGATTGCAATTCTTAATGTATTTAAAATTATTATATGGTAAATATAATAAGAAAATTTCATCATATATATTAATTCTATTTGGGTGGACTCTTGGTTCTTCAGTAGATTGATTGATAGAATTTACATGAAAGAACTGCTAAGAAAGAAGTTATATTTTTGTGAACACAGGTAGAAATGATAGCACATGCATTGAAACTCTTAAAAAAAACCATACTAACTATCTTCTAAGAATAGTGTGTTGATTTTCCATTTTGTTAAATGTTTAAGAATTAATTCCTAAAAATAATCCTTGAAACTTTTTACAGGTCCTTTTACAGATGTAGTCACCACGAATCTTAAACTACGAAACCCATCAGACAGAAAAGTATGCTTTAAAGTAAAAACTACAGCACCTCGTCGATACTGTGTGCGGCCAAATAGTGGAATTATTGACCCAGGAACTGCAGTAACTGTATCCGGTAAAAATATTAAATATATTTTGTTCATTTTTTTTGGCTTTTTTCAATCATAGAAGGTATTGAATATTTAGGACGTGCATAATTAAAAGCTAATAAACAATATACTATTAATTGAATCCTTTAAAAAATATCAGCTAAAACTAACCACATTATTATTTGTTGACATTTATACTATTTATATTCTGCCTAATAGTTTGATTAAGAAAATAATCCTGAATTTTTGTTGGGAGGGTTAACTGGGATATTGGATATGGATATCTTCTCTACTTTTTATCATATTTACTTGATATAATGACTTTCCCCCCAAAATAATATGTTATGAATCAGAAGCACCATTTTAGATTCATGAAGAAAAATAGAAGTCATTGGATTGAGTGTTGAGAGGAACTGCTTGTCTGGTGTATTTATCCTAAATAAGTATCTCCTTCCCTTGATGCCTCTTTCCCCTTATCTATATCCAACTTTTTTCCTACTTCTTGTTTTATTTATTTTACCGTATATGCCGGCGTACAAGGCGACCCGGCGTATAAGATGACCCCCGTCTTTATCGCCGGGCCGCATTCCTAGAACGTCGTCTTATACACCGGAAACTACCAGTATTTCCGGCGTATAAGACGACTCGGCGTATAAGACGACCCCCGTCTTTGGCGCCGATTTCAGCGCTCGCAGAAGTCGCCTTATACGCCGGCATTTACGGTATTTATTTATTTATGAGACTTATATACCGCTTTAAGTGCAAGCACTCTCTAAGTGGTGTACACCAGTAAGCAATGTATATATATATTTACATTGCCCCCAACAATCTGGGTCCTCATTTTACCTACCCCGGAAGGATGGAAGGCTGAGTCAACCTTGAGCCGGTGAGATTTGAACCGCTGACCTGCTGAACACAGTCAGCTAAAGTGGCCTGCAGTACTTGTTTCACCTTTTTAGTACAGCTGCCCCTTTCTCTTATCTTTCTATCTATCCGTTTTTTTCCCTTTCCTCTGGAGGAAAGAAGAAAGGAAAATCTGTGCTGAAAATACTATAGTTCAGGGCTTTTCAACCAATGGTACGTGTACCACCTGTGGCACATTAGCACATGACAGGTGGTACATGGCCCTGCCCAGCCACGTGTAGTGGGGGAGGGAATGAGCCAGTGTAGGACTTACTGTCAGAGAGTCCTCCGGAGCTGCAGAGTGGCTGGGGTGAGGCAAAGGCCCAAGGCTCACTTCTGGCTCACCTGGAAGAGAAAGGAGGAGGAGGGGGCAGAAACAGGAGAGGCTATAAAAGGAGGCAGTTTGAACAGGAGAGGGAGAGAGAGAAAAAGCAGCAGCCTTGGGAGGAGACGAAGTCAGCTCTAGCTGCACCAAAGGGAAAGAAGGAGGAGGGTGGGGGGAGAGGAGAGGAGATCAAGCAGGCCGGCCATGAGCCGATATACAACTTCTGTGGCAGCCATCTGTGCTGGCAGCAACAAACAGGCAAGAAACGCAGTGGGGGAGGGGTCGCCCTCCACGAGGAATGAAGAAAGGCAGCATCGGCTGGAGGTGAGCATGGAGGGCATGAGGGAGGGAGTTGGCAATGAGAAAGAGGGAGCTAGAGAGCAGGAAGGAGGGAGCGTTGGAGGGAAAAGCCCGGGGCTTGCTTTCCAGCTGGGAGGCTAATACCTTTAAGAGAAAAGAAAAAATAGACCAGAGGAAACAAACCTCCGGCTGCTGCTGCCCCAGCTGCTCGAGAGGAGATGTTTAATGGCAGAAACGAAGTGCTGTTTCAGCTGAACAACAAACCAGGAGAGTGGAAGGATTCTTTTGTGCTTTTGTGACTTTGAAGTTCTGGTATCTCTGCAATGTGGGCTTTGTGTTCTTGAGTGTTCGGCAATTTCTATTTGGCTGATAACTGATGTCTCATGTTAGAGTCTATTGCTCTGCTATTGTTAGCTGTAAGTTTTGCTGCAAGGGATTTTGAAGTATTTTTCTCCTGAATGAATTTGCCTGTAGCATTCCTTTACTTATGAATGGAGCCATTTGGGGAGGCTGCCTTAGCCGGCAGTCAGTACTTACTACATTTTTTTTTCTTCCTTAAGTGCTGGCTGCCAGTTCCTTAACTTTCATTTCTAGCCGGTAGCTAATTCTTAAAGCAGAATGCACCTTTTTTAGCTAGCTCCCTCAGCAACTTGTCTTTTCTGTCTCTGGAGGCTTTTCCTTGTTCGATAAATATATGGAAGAGGGAAAATATGGGGGGAGGTTCAAATTCTTCCTTCAGAAGGAGATGAGGAAGGAGGGAGGGAGGGAAGGAAGTCCCACCTTAGCACTTGGCCACCAGCTGCCCTGCCTTTGACTTTGCTTGTCAAAAGGTTGCAAAAGGGGATCACATGACCCTGGGACAGTGAGACCATCATAAATATGAATCAGTTGCTAAGCATCCAAATATAAATCGCATGCTGCAATGGTCATAAGTGTGAAAAATGGTCATAAGTCATTTCAGTGCAATTGCAACTTTGAACAGGTTTTTTTGGACGGGGTCATCAAGTTTTTGACACCTTGCTAGATGGTACTCGAATATTGCCATATCCTAAAAGTGGTACTATCAGTGAAAAGGTTGAAAAGCCCTGCTATAGTTGACTGAGAGAATGGTTGGTATAGGCAGATAGGGGTTAACTGATTTCATAAAAGAAGCATCTTTACAGACAATTATAATTTTACAGGAATTAATACTTTTTTTAATAAAATAGTTATTAAACCAGTGTGTTTATGTGTGTGTGTGTGAGAGAGAGAGATTTGGTAGTCATCTACAGCGTTTGTGGCAAGTACACATGCAGATGCACATATGCCAACAAATAAAGCATACATTTATGTGGAACAGGAATTTTCATCCTTTACTGTTGATGTTTGACCCTAGAAGGCAAAGGCTATCCACCAGTTTGAGCTGGAATTGTCAGCCTTTAGGATGACAAGAAAGAGAAGCTGTGCATTGCCAAACCTTGTGATTGAATTTTTAATTTCTTTATCTTATGTTCCTTTGGGGAGAGATGAGTTTAAATTAAGAATTGTCTTGTTGTCAGGCAAGTACATTATAATCCTGCTAGTGCTTTATCAACCTGTTCCCTACTAATCCACAAGGTGGTGCCACTAGCATTTTCTTAATTCTTGATTTAGGGGAGAATAGTTATTCTGGCTAGTGTACTGTAATTTAATGCTTTTCTATTATAGCTGCCTTAATATTTTAGTTGTTGTTAAAAATAGTTTTGTCTTTAGAGAATAATGAAGACATTTCATAATATAAGCATTAGTTAGTAAATATGTCACATATTGTTTTTGTAGTACATTACATGCTTCCTCCCATTGACAGTGTTTTTTAGTTTAAGGTGGAAAAGATCTTTTTGTTCAGTACTCTAATATAAATCATAAAATAAAACAGAAATATCAATTATATTTTAATTAATTAATTATAAATTATGGCAGATGTCCTTGAACTTGTCATTGACAAAAATAAAATATATATCTTTGTCTATTTTTGTTGAAATGTGTAAGGTAGCTAGGTTAATGTAAGCATGATAATTATGAGTGAATGTACTAAGCAGTTTTCTCTACCCTATCCACAATTTTTGTAGCTACTGAAGGCAGACTTCAGGGGAAATCTGTCAATCTGGTAAGGTCAGTTCTAGGCAGAGAAAATCTAATTCTATAAATCTCTAATTAGATAGGCAAAATGCATACAGCTTAATCAAAACAAATATTTCATGTTCAATGTATTAAAACTCTTCTACATAAAACAGGATGATGTTATAGGTTCAAATGAATTTTGCTGACTGGAGCTGTCCCATATTTTAATAGGATGGAGAGATGGAATTTTTTTTGCAGATAAATAAATGGCAAAATTGTATCTTCAGTGTAGAGTGTGTGGGAGTAAGTAATAAGGGAATAATTGTCCTAGGTGAGGGAGCATATTGAGATTTATTCTCATAGTTTTGCATTTGTAGTCCATATTTTAAATTTGATTGTGATGAGAGAGAAGGTATAAAATATTACCTGGGTTGATTTTTCAATGATGTGGTTGTTTTCTTGGTGTTCATGGTATTTTCAGGAATCTTCTCCAATACCAAAGTTCAAAGGCATCACTACTGTTCCTACCCTTCTTAAAAGTCCAACCTTCATTTCCATTCAGTTTCATAGGCTTGCATGATTCCGATTTTTGTAGGCATAGACATATGAAAACATTTGAATATCTTTTCCAAGACTTCATGGCTGCTCTGCTAAGTGCTAGTCTGAGGCTTATTTGTTCCTTTTTTTTGTTGCTTGTTCCTTTACTGTTGATGGGTGACCCTAAAAGGCAAAAGCTTTCCCCCACCTTAGTATCTTCAATATCAATTCTAAGAGTGGTTGTTGTACATGTCGTTAGTTTGGTCGTCTTCCTATTTAATTTTAATTCCATTTTTTCACTGTGCTCTTTGACTTTTAGTACTAGGGCTTGCTGATCCTTTGCATTTTCGGTGATCAGGGTATTGTAATCAATATAGCATAGGTTATTGATGTTTCTTCCTCCAACTTTAAAACAACGTTCTTCTTTATTTACAGCTTCCTTAATATATATGCAGCATATACCCTGCCTTAAATAATGTTATACAACAGTGTTTCTCAACCTTGACAATTTTAAGGCATGTGGACTTCAACTCCCAGAATTCCACAGCCAGCAATGCTGGCTGTGGAATTCTGGGAGTTGAAGTCCACATGCCTTAAAATTGTCAAGGTTGAGAAACACTGTTATACAAGGACCTCATGTAGCAGTACCTATTCTTTAACTGTTCTTCCCTTCTCATGAGTAGGAATTAAAACTTTAGCATTTAAACTAGTTTACTAGCCATTGGATTTTTTCTTAGAGGAAAATGCTAGTAATATTGATGGCATAAATGGCTACTGCCTTGCTAGGTGAATTCATCTAATAATTATTTCATTATGCAGTTTTTTTTTGTATTGGAAAGCTCAGTTGGTCCTTATTTAATTGTAAGATAATTGTAAGATAAAAGTTATAATATGATTTATTCAGTTTTGGCTCAGTGTGGTATATGAACTAATATCAAGTAATAAACTCTGGTTTATCATAGAAGCTTTCAGATAAGCTAAAATAAACATTTTGGATTGTTTTTTAATTGTTGCATCTGAACCAGGCATTATACTTTCTGCAGGGCAAAATATATTCTGTGTAGGCAAGTGTAGGCCTTTTGGGAGGAAGAGTAGTTTGTTTTATCTTTACTTGGCTTTCTAATTGTTAATGAGAAGAGTAAGTGCACATTGTTTTATTAAGCAAATAAATTGGTTGAGAAGCAGTACAACTCAGGCCCTTCATAAAATGTGTACTAAAAAGCTGTATTCAGTGTAATATGTGCTGCACTCTATTTATGTCAGGAGTGTCAAACCTCAGTTTCATTGAGGGCCGCATCAGCATTGCGGTTGCCCTTGGGCCGGGTGGGTGTGGCCAGGGTGGGTGCAGCCCAGTGGGTGGGTGTGGTGGAGTGGGTGTAGCCTACTGGGTGGGCATGGCCAGCTCTATATCATTCACGTCAAGGCAGGCATTGAGGCACTCTCCTCACAGTGCCGAGAGGTTGAGTCAGGCGGTGTGAAGCTTATCAGTTTTGCACCTTGCTGCCTGCTGAAACTGGGCAGACTGGGGGCTAGGCAGTATTGTACTTCTCATCAGATTTGCGCCACCTGGCTCAGCTCTTGGCACTGTGAGGAGAGCACTCTGCTGCCTGCCGAAACCCCTCCCCCAGAGCCCATCAAGCCGGATAGGTGAAGTAGGCGAGGGCCATTTGCTGGCCACTTCCAGGCGATGGTGCATTTCTTCATTCCTCACAAAGGGTGATACCTCGCCAGCATGCATCCAGGAGGTGGGGATGACGAGGCAGGGGCTGATTCCTCACTGTTTCCAGACAGCCTTGTGGAGCTAAAACTGAATGCATTTCAGCATAGATGGCCACCACAAAATTGTACATTGGCTCCTGGCCGACCTGGGCCAGGGCCAAGGCAGTGGGAGCCATTCCCTCACTGTTTCCAGGATGGCTTCGCGGGCCGCATCCGGGCCTTGTGTTTGACATGTTCGATTTATGTAATAAGATTCTTTTCTCCATTATCCATATTTGCAGAATGATTAATACATTCTATCCTCAACAGAAAAAAATACAGCATTTTTGGACTCTGATTTGAGAGCTACTGATCATCTTTAATGTATTTCAGAATATTGAATATAATATATAACAAAATTCCATTTCTTAATGGAACCAGTTTATTTGTCTGCTCTGAATTTATTTTTGTTTGAGTTTAGTAATTATTAAATTAAAAGGACAAATATTTGAAATAACATTATTTTTCAAATTATAAAGTGTAGCTATGTAATTACGAGAAAATAAGGATCAGCTGATATGTGACAAGAATTTCATTATTGAAATACATTAAAGTACACACTATATTTTCTGAATTTACAATAAAATTAAAAGTTCATAAGAAAAAGTTCGCAGACTTTTATATAATACAAACTTTGTCTGTTATGCAGTTATGTTACAGCCTTTTGATTATGATCCAAATGAGAAGAGTAAACATAAGTTTATGGTACAGACGATCTTTGCCCCTACAAACATTACAGATATGGAAGCAGTGGTATGTAAATATCTACAATTTCAGTTTTTAGTAAATGGACAGATATGAATTCCTTCTCAGGCTTTTTGAAATCAGCTTCCTTGGATTTCCTTTTGTCTCATATATCTTGAAGCTTTTCCAACTTCTCTGAATCTGTTTAAAAAAATCCAGCATCAGTATCTGAGAAAGATTTCAAATGTTCACTTAATTTAAAGACAAAGTAGTGGAACTGAGATGGCTTCTGCTGGGGGGTGGGAAATGGTAATTTTTCTCACAGCAGCTTTAGTGTTTTCAGTATATTGTCTGAGGAGCTTCAGCAATTTTGAACCTATTAACATATCTGGTTATTTGAGACAGTATCATGAGGAACACTACAAAATGGCTGATCAGTTCTACTTTATAGAAAAAATAAGAATTGCAACAATTTAGATTTGTATTTTCTTCCTGATTTTACAGGTTGTAATCTACAATATTACAACTTAGAAAGGCTTCCCCTTGCTGAGAATATGCTGGTCAAATTTTTTTCCTAATAAAAGAATTCTTAAGTATATATTGTCCATTGTTTTAGAAGTAACTTGTTTGGGCAGTTGAAAAAGTTGTGTGGTAGCACATATAATTGAATATATATTTCTGCACTTGTAACCTTTCCTCTTCTCAGTATAACATGAACATAGACATCTTTATTGGTTTCATTCAGTGAAGGTTCATTTTACAACTGAATTAGGAGATTGTTACATACCTGACTAGATTTCAAAACGTGGCTTCAGAAATAGCTTACCCATGCTCTAATATTTGTAGCTTTTTGGTTCAAATGTAACAAAAAGCTTATGACTATTCAAAACTAGAAAAAATATTGATGCTTGATGAAAAATGATTTATATATCACAAGGATTTAAGTCTATATTTCCTGCTTAAAGGCCAATTGCCTGTTAAGCCATGCTAGTTCTTGAAAATCAGTATACAAAGCAGAGTTTATACATTATGAAAATTTATTTGATGACATCTAGTAACATAATGTATTTCATTGTTATCATAGTGGAAGGATGCAAAATCTGAGGAATTAATGGACTCCAAATTGAGATGTGTATTTGAAATGCCTAATGAAAATGATAAGCTGGTAAGTAAAAAATATTCAAATGTTTATGTTCTGCCTACATCTTTTGCATATTGTTGAATATAGAGATTATAATTAGTGCTTTAATAAAACCTCTAAAGCTTTCCAGTCTTCTTTCTAACGTAGAAACACTGTACTTTTGTAAACTTTTAAGCAAGCTACTTTTATATTAACATGTGTTGTGAATTTAGTTAGAGTAAAAATTGGCTTGGAATCAATAGAGCCATATATAGCCTGTGTAATAAGTGAAAGTTTATAATTTATACATTTCAAAAGCAAATAAGAGAAATGGATATGCAGAAGAAGAAATTACTGGAAGTGGATAAAAGAAAACTGGTTTTCATTTAGTCTTCTTGAAAGAATGAAGGTTCTTGAAATTTACACTCAGGGTAGTGAAAGGAAGTTTGTGAACTATCAGCAATTCTGAACTACCTTTAGAACTATCTGTAATTCTGAACTAATGTGTCCTACAGCATGATCAGAGCACCTAATTCCTGTAATAAAGAAAAAGATTTTGGTGAAACTAATGACATCCAATGTTATATCCTACTTATTAGCACATTCATCTGCCATTCAGAATCTTTGATGGGAAAAGTATATAATGTCCTATCTCAATTGGGTAAATTAGGTCAGGGAGATATCAATGAGATGTGATCCTCCCCTATTTAAAAAAACATACATGTGTTATTTGCCACACTGGTATCTTCATAGCACAGGTTTTCTGGAAGTGAACTGTGTATCTATCAAAAGAAAACTTGATTTCAGAAAAAGGATTTGCTGATGCTCATGAGGTTGGAAAAGGCTACAGAATCATTGTCAAACCTCCCATCAGTTCACAGGCAGATAATTCCCTTTTATTGATTTTATTTTGTGTGAGCTGATCAGAATTGTTCAGTCAGGTGGCATACAAGTTTAAACATTAATATTCTACTCTACTACTACTACTACTAATGCTTGTTATTGTTAACAATTTTTGGAGTAGTAGGATTATGCTAAAGGTATTTGGGGACTGTATGCCACAGTAATGGCCTCAGACTGTATACTTCTGTTTTAAAATATCCAGGAAATGTTAGACATGTTGTTTACTCTAAATGGAAGTTTACATTTTAAATATTTTAACATTGTTTTTACTAGTTTGTTCTATTTATAAGCAGTTTCTTTATTATTAAGCTTCATCCTATAACAGGGGTGTCAAACTGCTGGCCCACGGGCCAGATGTGTCATCTGGAAGCCGTGCCCTCCCCATTGCCAGCAATGGCAAAACTGTCCCGATACGTTGCACGATGTCATGTGATGTCGCGAGTTTGACATGTCTGTCCTATAAGGAAAGCTACAAAATAGGCACGCTCATACTTGTGAAGCAGTTCTCTCAGTTTAATGTCAAAATATTGCTTTATAAAAAGTGGGTGAGAAGACATAAATTAAGGAGATTTAAATTTGAAATAAGGAGAAATTTCCCTATCTTGAAAAATATTAAACAGTAGAAGAGCCAGTCTCCTGGAGTGCTCCATTACTGGAGGTTTTCAAGCAAAGATTGGATGGCCATTGGTCTGGGAAAGTCTAGGGTGTTATGGGTGGGGGATAGATTAGAAGAGCTCTAAAGTTCCTTTATATTTAGCTAATCTAAAGAGCTGAAGAATAAGTGACTTGAATAGCTAATTTACTCTAGTTACAATACAAGTAGACCTGAACTTCTGACCGGCTGCTTAGCAATGGGTTCGCTTAACGACTGCAGCATTTGCTTAATGCTACAAAAAAAGGTAAATTTACAAAGATTTACAACTGTCACAACATACAACCATAATGAACAAGCTCCATTACAGTTGTATGTTGAGGACTACCTGTAACAAGAAAATGGGAGTAATGTAAACTTCATTACTGATGGGACTTCTCTATATATTATACCTTACTGCCATTCAGATAGCCCTCAGCATATGGTTATTCATTTAACAAATGCTCAAAGTTATGGTGGTGCTGAAAAAGGTGATTTATATCTTGCACTTGCAATCATTGCAGCATTTCTTGGTCTCATAATCACAATTGGCAACTGGCATGTATTTATGATAGTTGAAGCTTTCTGGAGTCATGGGTTTACCATTTGCACCTTCCCAGGGAGCTTCTGACAAGCCAAAACAATGGAGGAAGTAGGATTTGCTTAACCACTATGGTGATTTGCTTAACTACCATGGCAAAGAGTTCATAAAATTGGGATGACTCAATTAACGACAATATTGCTTAGCAAAGGAACTTCTGGTCCCAATTGTGATCATAAGTTGAGGACTACTTTTATAGAAATAAAGGCCACTTTCAGATTCCTCCTAGTGTGCAATTCAGTGTTTTCCAAATGTGTTCACATTTTTATCTCAAGTAAAGTTTTGTACAGAATACAAGAAGAAAATATTTCCAAGTAAAATTTAATAATATATTTTATAATAGTTTCTTGAGAGTTGAAAATTTTTAAGAATATGCCAGTATGTCAAGTAAAACATGGTATACATGGTATAATCCTTAGATAACAGCCACTTATTCAGTGACCATTCAATTAGAAGAGTATTGCATGAGCGGTACTTATAACTGCTCTTCAAGGAGTCCTTGCATGTCCTGTCTCCCTTAGCAGCAGCCACTCCCAATCTGGATGTCATTGTGCTGGGCTGCTGCAGCTGCTTGCGCACCCTCCTGCCCAATTGCATTTGTACTGATTTGCAGCAGTCACTTAGCTGCCTTCCAGGCTGTTTGCAAGCTGTCTTGGGCCTCATGACTTCCAGCCAGAGTCCCCGTTTATTTTTCTTCTGGAAGTCAGCAGGAAGTCCAAAGTTAATGAGCCACGATCCTCATTTAATGATGGTAGTGGAGACTGCCACAGTCGCCCTCACGAAGCGATGCAAATACATGATGTTGGGCTTTATAACTGCATTGTTTAATGATGGGAGTTTTGGATCCAATTACTGTTGTTAACCCAGGATTACCTGTATTTTATTTTGATTATAGTTATGTGAAGATTAACATTCACATAATATATACAGTGGGGCAAAAAAGTATTTAGTCAGCCACCAATTGTGCAAGTTCTCCCACTTAAAAAAATGAGAGAGGCCTATAATTGTCATCATAGGTAGACCTCAACTATGAGAGACAAAATGAGAAAACAAATCCAGACAATCACATTGTCTGATTTGGAAAGAATTTATTTGCAAATTATGGTGGAAAATAAGTATTTGGTCAATATCAAAAGTTCATCTCAATACTTTGTTATATATCCTTTGTTGGCAATGACAGAGGTCAAACGTTTTCTGTAAGTCTTCACAAGGTTGGCACACACTGTTGCTGGTATGTTGGCCCATTCCTCCATGCAGATCTCCTCTAGAGCAGTGATTTTTGGGGCTGTCGCTGGGCAACATGGACTTTCAACTCCCTCCAAAGGTTTTCTATGGGGTTGAGATCTGGAGACTGGCTAGGCCACTCCAGGACTTTGAAATGCTTCTTACGAAGCCACTCCTTCGTTGCCCTGGCGGTGTGTTTGCGATCATTGTCATGCTGAAAGACCCAGCCATGTTTCATCTTCAATGCCCTTGCTGATGGAAGGAGGTTTGCACTCAAAATCTCACGATACATGGCCTCATTCATTCTTTCCTGTACATGGATCAGTCGTCCTGGTCCCTTTGCAGAGAAACAGCCCCAAAGCATGATGTTGCCACCCCCATGCTTCACAGTAGGTATGGTGCTCTTTGGATGCAATTCAGCATTCTCTCTCCTCCAAACACGACGAGTTGTGTTTCTACCAAACAGTTCTACTTTGGTTTCATCTGACCATAGGACATTCTCCCAATCCTCTTCTGGATCATTCAAATGCTCTCTAGCAAACTTCAGACGGGCCCGGACATGTACTGGCTTAAGCAAGAGGATACATCTGGCACTGCAGGATCTGAATCCCTGGCAGTGTAGTATGTTACTGATGGTTGCCTTTGTTACGTTGGTCCCAGCTCTCTGCAGGTCATTCACTAAGTCCCCCCATGTGGTTCTGGGATTTTTGCTCACCATTCTTGTGATCATGTTGACCCCACGGGTGAGATCTTGCGTGGAGCCCCAGATCGAGGGAGATTATCAGTGGTCTTGTATATCTTCCATTTTCTAATTATTGCTCCCACAGTTGATTTCTTCATACCAAGTTGCTTGCCTGTTGCAGATTCAGTCTTCCCAGCCTGGTTCAGGTCTACAGTTTTGTTTCTGGTGTCCTTCGACAGCTCTTTGGTCTTCACCATAGTTTGGAGTGTGACTGTTTGAGGTTGTGGACAGGTGTCTTTTATACTGATAACAAGTTCAAACAGGTTCCATTAATACAGGTAATGAGTGGAGGACAGAGGAGCCTCTTAAAGAAGAAGTTACAGGTCTGTGAGAGCCAGAAATCTTGCTTGTTTGTAGGTGACCAAATACTTATTTTCCACCATATTTTGCAAATAAATTCTTTCCAAATCAGACAATGTGATTTTTCATTTTGTCTCTCATAGTTGAGGTCTACCTATGATGACAATTACAGGCCTCTCTCATCTTTTTAAGTGGGAGAACTTGACAATTGGTGGCTGACTAAATACTTTTTTGCCCCACCATATGCTAGCTTTTGTGAAAAAAGTCTCAATATTTGGTGGAATGCATGTTGTTAATAGCTATGGAATAATGTCTCACTCCTGAAGTGTAATTAGACTTAGTGTATTTTCAGTGTGGAACAATGACAATTCTGATATAGTTCATAGATTTCATTTTGGTGTAAAGCAAAATATTCAGGCAGAAAGGTTTCAGTCCAGTTTTCATAGCTGTGATATTTACCATATCAGATAAATTAGTTGCTTATGTGTATACTGAATGTTCATTCAGTTTGATAAGTAACACATCAGACTATGCGATGCCACATTCAGAGAAAAAGCAGTTCAAGCAAAAAAGATGCTTCTTAAAAATAAAAATCAACCCAAATTAGGATGCTTATGTTTATAATCATAAAAATTAATCCTCGTGCAAGATCCTTAGAGCTGCAAATAGCCAGAGTGGAGTTTGCTATTTTTGCTATTTAAGTTTGTGGCAGCCTACTTTAAGTTATTTATACATTTGGAAACAACTGTTTCTTCCTCCGAAATTATAAAAAATTGACCTGGATTGAATTTCTAGTTCTGTCTATACATTAGTATACGTTATGACTAAATCATATTATCTTCTAGGGCTTAATCCTGCAAAAATGCATTTAAGATTTTAGTTTTAGTCTATAAAACTCAAGTGTCTAAAGACAACTTTTATTTTTGTTTGTGCTTAACTGCTTGTACGTAACATTTATGTTTTTCCAAGTAGCAGAATGGGGTTCCAGGCCCTAATCCTTTAGCCGTTGGTTTAGTCATTCCTTTAAGTCTTGCAGTGAGAGATCTCCTGAGTGCTGAGGGTATGTCTTACCTGCCATCTCAGGTTTTATCTTCATCAAGATCTGTATACATACCTCCAGCCAACAGAAACTTTCGTCAGGAACCTGCAGATAATAGACAGAAGATTGACATGATGGAACCAGGCAGTGAGGTCAAACACAAGATGGATCAGGTTTGTTTGAGGGAGCTGAAAGCTTCAAGATTTTTCTAGTTCAAAAATGGTTCATTGCAGCTAGCTAAGAAAAATATCAAAGGAGGCTCAAAGTGAAGGATGTTCAATTCAGTCAAAATGAAAACCATGCTACATTATTGAGCTTATTTTCTATTGTATACATTTTTGTTCAAAATTTGCACCATTTTTATTCCTGTGAAATTTGGACTGCTGCAAATTTCTAGGATTGAGATGCATAGGAAGGAAAGAAAATGAAATACATCACTTGGAAGAGGCAAAATTATAATTAAGAATTAAGGTAGAACCAGTGGGGATCCTTTCTACAAGCCGTCTTCAGCAACTGGAATCAAGCCAAATGGTGTTGGACTAGTTTGGATGATACTTATCTGGTAAATAAACAGTGATAGGAACAAGGTTTATACAAGTTCATACAACCCCTTTGCTCTTTGTTTTGTGGTGAAATTAAATAAACTCGGAACTCTTCAGTTAACACTTTACTCAAAGTAGGAAGTAGTTCACAGTTGCTTTCGAGATGGCAGGATTTAAAATTATCATAGTTTATTCCAAATCCATTAATTCAGAGGTTCTCTTAGTTCATGGTGCCTTTTGTCTCGGTAATTTTTTCACTGTGCTCCTAGGCTAGCAGTTTGTGCAATGTCTGACAGATGTGTCAAGTATTATAGGGTTTCCTTCAGAAATCTAAAATACCTTGCAGTGTCCCTATGAGTTCACTATGGTGTCCCATTTGGGAACTATGGTATTAAGCATTATTTCTTTCTTGCTGAAACAAGAAGTTGTAGTTAATAGAAGATTTTTCAATTTGTTCTGTCATCTAGCATGAAGGAGCAGAATACAACAAAAGATTATTAAGTAAGGTATGATCATTTGAATCTGGTAGTCAGCTTGTTTCATGCGTAAAACCAAGCCATGGCAATGAGAACAGATACTTTTATTCATTTACAAACTATGCATTTTACTAAGCATAGTTTGGTAGATTTGCTATTGTTACTTAAAAAACAGGCATGTCAAGAATATTGATTAAATCAAAGGAATAGTGCATGCTTTATATATATATGTTTTATAATATATATGTTTATAATATATATGTTTATAATATATATGTTTTATTATATATATATTAGAAAGCTTAATTTTGTGATCATGAAATTGCATGATCAGATTTTCTCTTCCCCACTGCAGCATGTCTGTGTCTGCTCATAAGGCTTAGGGACTATCACAATAGGGGTGGAACAGTGGGGAAGAGAAATAACTCTGTCCATGTTCCTTCAGTAGGAATTGGTAACTGCTGTTAGAAAAATGCAAACATTGTTTATACTGCATCTATTGTGACAAAAATCTGCTTAAAATAATTTCTTGATTGGTGTTGCAGATTGGCTTCTTTGTATGTATATGGCACTTTCTGTGTACGTTTAAACCATGCCCTGATGCTTTTATTTAAATAATATGTAATTTATAAATATTCCTCTTCTGTCTCTCTTTTCCAGTTTTCAGAGCTACATTTGTCCAAATGTCAATGTTGACTATGACTAGCTTTAAATTTTAGTTGGTGAACTGTAGTTAAAAAATAATAGAAAGAGTGTGGAAGCTTTGAAACATTCATGGTCTCCTAATCTCTTCAGGAACGTTGTCAACTGAGAAGTTTCTATCCATTTTATCCTTGGAGATAAATATATTAATTCTTTAGAGACTTATCTTAGAATGAAATGCAGCGTAAATCTATAAGTCTATCGTGCCAGCTTATTTTTATTAGTCACTTAAAAATACTTCTTTCAAAACTAAATTCTGCTTCTTGAACCCCTTTCATATTTATTGTCTTGGAAATTACCTGCATTTTTTTAAAGTAATAAATGTCATTAACATTGAAATACCTATTTTGAATCTGTTTTTTTTAATGTTTCCAGAATGAAATAGAAACAAATAAATCTGCTCCAATACTGAACACAACAAAACAAGATGGTCTGGTGCCAAAATCACATAGTGTTTCACTTAATGACACTGAAACAAGGAAGCTAGTGGAAGAATGCAAAAGACTTCAGGCAGATGTCGTGAAACTATCAGAGGAAAATAGACATCTGAGAGTAAGTTTGCAGATATATAATAAGTTCAATAGTAAAATTGAACCTTACGGATTTATTCATGAAATATAGTTTTAAAAATTGCTTATACTGAGCTGTTTATAATAGTTTTTCTACACTGGAAGGATAGAATACTAATCCAGTAAAAAAAATACCTGTTTTAAGAATTAAGGTAGCTAGATTTACTAAAATGATAAATTAATCACGTACACACACCTAATATTTAAAGTTATTAGGCTGTGCTTCCATTAATCTAGACAGATAAAAATGTGTTTTAAATGTGAATCAGGTTATTTTAGTAGTTTAGTAGTCTCTGACTTACAAATGAATTTAGGTTTCACTTCTTGAACTTTCTATAAAACAGGAATGGTGTTCTTAAATGTCTAGAAGTTTCTATGTGCCACCATTTGTAATCCTAAAGCTGAAATAAGTAGTAATGTTTCCAGCAAATCACTGTTCTCAATTATTTTAAATGTTTAATCATATTATCATAGTAATCATATAGATGGAAAAGGTCCTATTTTCTATTTAGGATTAATATTTTATGCCCCCTGTGTGTTAAGTGTCATTCTTTAAAGGCAGAATGCACGAATAAATAAAGTCTATGATAGCATTGAAATACTTCTGTGAAATGCATCCTGGTTATATTCAGGCCTGATGTGATCTCGTGATTTTTCCCTCTGTTGATTAATTTCCTCCATGTATTTCCAGGATGAAGGCTTGAGGCTGAGAAAGGTGGCACACTCAGATAAACCTGGACCATCAGGCTTGGCCCTCCGAGAGAATGGCTCCAACCCTCTTCCTTCACTCCTTGTTGTAATTGCAGCCATTTTCATTGGATTCTTTTTAGGGAAATTCATCTTGTAGAAAGGGAGAGAGAAGAGAGAGAGAAGCATGCAGAATGCTGCTTCCTTTTTTTTCTTGGCCAGAAAAAAAAACCCTACCACTTCATTGGTAGTATGGCCAAAGTGACCATTTTTGTGTACAGCATCATACAGGCTTTGCCTCTAATGATCTTGCACGGTTAGACAACACGATAAAAAGACAAACTGTTCGGCTGCTGGACAAAATTGTATATTAATTCATTAATAGCAGGTGTCAGTTGCACATTCAGTCCTTTATGAAAACTCATAAATAAAGAATTGTTCTTTCTTTTTGTGGTTTTAATAAGAGTTAAAATTGTTCAAAGTCTTGTAAATGTTATTTTAATAATCCTTTTCAAATTTTATCTGTTATTCTTGCCTCTTGGAAAGAATGATTATTAGAATGCTAATTCGCTTGTTCAGGAAAATGGTGAGGCATTCTGTGGGGGAATGTTCCTCTTAGTGCAGTGTTTCCCAAACTTGACAATTTTAAGGCATGAGGACTTCAACTCCGAGAATTCCACAGCCAGCAACGCTGGCTGTGGAATTCTGGGAGTTGAAGTCCATATGCCTTAAAATTGTCAAGTTTGGGAAACACTGTCTTAGTGTATACATTTTTTCCCCCTTCACCTTACTTTGCTGATATCATGGCAGAATTTCTTACCCTTGTGAGGTGGTTGTGGAAGAAAAAAAAATAATCATCTTGACAGCCCTGTCCCATGGTATTTAACAAACAAAATAATAAAACTGTTAACAGACTTTCTGATGGGTAGCTTGTTTCTGTGAATTGTTCTTTTAGAAAGATTTTACAACGTGTGCTATACACAGCCTTCTTCTTGTCACAGATTTATATTGTTCACTAGTTGTGGCTTAGACTGGTGCCAGTGAAGCTTCAGAAGAAATGTAGCAGTTTCCATATTGTGCAGCAGCAGCTGTAAAATTACCTGGCTTTTTAGGAAAAGATCAGAATTTGATTTGTTTTGGGACATGGGACACATAACTTTAAATTTACTTTTTAGAAATAGTATTTTGGGTTTTCAGATACTTCTGTTGTATCACTGATATTCCTTTAAATTTATGGAATCAATTGTATCTTGATTTTACATCCAGATTTATTAGGCCAAGTGTCCACAGAAGAACATTCCCTATAATGTTTCCAAATAGCCCAAAGCTAATACTGATTGAGAAAATGTTAATCATTTAGTTTTGTGAAGAAATTAAGCTTTGTTTAGCAAATAACTTTGCATAGCTGCCTGTTAGCTATGCATATTTTAATTCTATAAAATTCATTTTATTTGGTCTGAACATTTTTTCTGCACTTAATCTTGCGATTTAATTTCTGATCTTCACGTCATTAAATAGATGATTTTGAAAGCACAATACAGCTGTTCGACATAATCCATCATAAGAAAGTATTTGAAATTGATATTTTGGAAGGCTTGTAAGCAGAATTTTGTATGTCCTTGCATATAATGAAGCAGTGCTATGTAGATTTTACGTAGCTGAGAACTGTTCTAGGAAAAATATAAATCTTCTTGGTTGCCTTTGATTTTTAATGCTTTTTTAAATGGAAGAGCTACTTATGTCACATACCATCACAATTCGCTGTGATAAACTTTTACAAACATCTTGCAATTTACGAAGAAGATGATGAACAAATTACTTGCCTGATGTTTCACTTAAAAGCATGCAAATACAGTTACTCTTCTTGTTTTCTGGTATCTGCATTCTGACTGTGGTGACTTGAAGAAGCGTGCTCATATCCAGTTCTCACTTAATTGGTTCTAAAATCAGTAGTACTGTTCATACTCTATTGTATAACTGGTACATCAGGAGAAAGCATTTATTCCTTGAAGGAAGTTGATCACTGGAAGAGATTACAAGGAAGATTTATGTACAGGCTATAAGTTCTAGCTACGTTTTGATATTTCTGTGAAAGAAGAAAGCTTCAAAGATATGTTCGCTGTTAAAGTAAACTAAAGCTACAATGGTTTGCACTGGCTAAATACTTTAGAATTTATTAGCCTCAACTTAGAATTTATTACAGATAGCCAGAACTGTGGTGAAACATAGTATGGGGAAGTACTCTAACCTTTGCAGATCTCTTGCCAATAAAATAAAATAGTCAACAATAACAAAAGCATTCTGCAGTTTATAATCTAATGATCATAAATTAGAATTAAGGTCCTAAGCTGGGCCATTTAGCAAGGCAAGGCTTTCAAAGACAAATATGGAATGGTTCAATAATTATTGTAAGTAAAGTGAGAAAATCCTGTTTGTGGATGCGCTTCTAGTTTTTAATAATCTTTTCATAATTGTATATAAAATGTAATGCTGAACTATTTCACTCTCAGAAGTGATTCTGAATGATACCAACTGTATTTAGTGAATTTATGTAATACGGATTAAATTGTCTGTTCCTGAAATGGTTAGAACTTTGCCTGTTTGCTTGTGTACACCAATGTGAGGAACATATTTGTTCCTGTTAGTAAGTGCTTCCATCAGAAAGTACACTGTAGTAGATCTTACATATAGTGAATTATTGGCTCCTGTAGCTTGCATGATGCAAGCTTTATATTTAAGTTGGCAACTTTGCTTATGGTAAGAAATTATAACAGAAAGTAAAATTATTTAAAAGCCCTGAAATATTTTTTGTCTGCTTTTTGTATAAAGTGAGAAAGAAGCTCTGCCCAAAATTTGTTTAATCGATTTCAAAGAAAATAATTATGTTTAAGTAAAATTAAAATGAGTTTTCCAGTGAATTTCTCATTGCCAAAAGTCTTTTGTACGTTCAGGTGGTATTAAGGTAGCACCACATGTTATGAACTGAGTGGAAATTCACAAAAGTTGCAAAGGATTTATGGTACCCATTGGTTTTTGTAATACAAAATATTTCCGTTGTGTTTATAAAATTTATAAAAGTTTATAAAACAAATTGAAACCTGGTATTCATAATAGGTGATGGGAAGCTGGCAATTACATGCACACAAATAGTTTTGGATTACAATTCCTGAACATCTAAAAGACCTATACTAAGATTAGGGATTATAGGACAAATAGAATGCAGAAAACATGCAGTGTGCCCCATTAGTTCTTAGTAACAATCATACAACTTTAACGTAGCCTGTTATGCAATCAAGTGTATAAAATAAGCCATTGGACTTGAATATCATCATGTTCAGTAAGTACTGGCTTGTTGAGATGTGTTGATATTTGTGCTCAGATAAGTAATTATATTTTGTGAATCAGTACAATTGCATAGGTATAGGCATATTATCTGAGAAAAGTCATGGTAAATTTGAGAGGCTGTTTGATTTTGTTTTGACTCTTAGCAACTGCATTCTTTAATGCATGAATTTATAAATTAAAACCTTTTCCCTGATGATTATCTAATGCTATCTTATTACACGTATTTTTGCTGTGTTGTCTGCAAAAAGTTTAAACAAATACAAACCTATTGCCCTTGTAATAAAGTAACAATATTTGTAAGACCCAAAGTTATTATTAACAGACTATTTTCTAGTAGTATGATCAATTCTCGGGCAAGAAATAGGATTAATGATTCCTCATTCAGTATATCTCATAGAAATATTTTGTATTAGCAAACTTTTGTTTATGCATAATGTCCGATTTCAGAAATTTGAAGAAGCTAGACAACTATATTTTCACTAAGTACTTAAATTTAAGGTCAGATCATACTGAACATCTTGTCTGCTGTTAATAATTTATGTTTGATGTAATACTGAGGTATCACATTTCATACATGCTCTTTCAAATAAGCATTTAATGTAAATACAGAAAATACTGGATTTGATTAATCAAGTTGATGAAACAAAGTTTCTCTGAAAAGTTAAATATATTTTGTCATTTTGTCTTAGCTCTACACTTTTCAGTTGTATGTAATATTGTGCCATTTCCCAAATGTCAGCATAGAAACCTAAGCATTCACAGTGCTTAGATAATTTAGAAAGAATGTTCTGAGATTTGAGCTGCTGTCTTGGTGATCTTCAGTATTTGTTCTTTTTATGGTAGCTGTTTCCCTAAACTAGAAAGGATGCTGGTGAGATATCTTCTTGAGGGTGCTCTCCCATTTATTAGTCATTCTGAAAGTGGTTTACATGGAAGCTACCAAAATAGAGATTACATAGGTAATATCTGAGATTAGCTAAAGTTATATCTTTGTGAAGATTTTTGTTTTGCTTATTTTTCTATTATTGTGACTGAGTTTTGTTAAACATAATTAAACTTCTTGAATTGATAAAATCTTAGTTTGCAGAATTAGATTTATTCTGTTAATTTGGGTCTGGAGCTACTGTATAAGAGAAGACACCTGTCTCAAGCTTGCCTTTATTTAGAGAAACTGCAAGTTTCTAACTCTCAAAAGCAGAAATAGATCAAATAAAGATTACTGGATGATGAGTGACAAATGGATTGACACGTAGTTTGAGCTTTCAGTGCTATTCTTCTCATCTGCTTTGTGTTCTTAGTGCTAATGAGACCTATAAATTATTGGGGAAAGAAACAAAACAAAAAATGTTTATTTTATTATAATATAGAGAATTGTACATTATATGTTCCAACATCTTCAGTGTTCGTACATCTTTCCAAATCTTTACATTGCCTTTCTCTAAATATAGAAAAAAAAAAAAAGATTCTGTATCGCAACTCTAGTTTGTTTTTACAGAGATTTCTGCAGGGTTGCAATCAAAGCTCTGCCTGTTTTTTATGTGTATCACATACAAAAATCAGATGTAAAAGATAAAAACGTGTATAATAGAAAAACAGCGTCAGTCACACCATTATGGCCACCATCCTGATTCTTGACCATAGCCTATGGACACGTCTCTTTTAAGCAGAGTTGAGCAACATTTTTTTTATATATACACTGAGGAGTAACATGAACAGAATAGGCAAAATAGGTGTCTCAAGGACTGTGTCGGGCCTAGAATATAATTCTAACAATTCCTATTTTCTGATGAAACCTAATTTGTGCAATCTTTTTTTATGCAGCATTATAGGCCTAAAATAGATTAGGTGAATTGTACAATAAATTGAATAGTTTGCTTTCAACATGTTTTTGAAAACCAGATGCTCAAATGAAATTTAGACTAGAGCTTGTTTTTTGTTTTAATGGCTTTCTCTTGGTAATCTAGATGTTGGTGATAGTTTTATCTAATAGTTGGCTAGACCAAAGGATTTTTTCCTCCTTTATCACATTTTATTCCACATTTTTATTTATTTATTCCACACTTTATTCCACAGTGTTTGGCTTTCTGCCTGACTTGTAAATAAATGACTAGTATTGATAGATAAATATAATAATTACTACTATATCTATCCATCTTTTGAGGCAAAATGCTGCCACTAGATGGCAACATTTTATTTGTTGGAAGCATTGGAACATTTTTCTGTGTAGCTTTGGTTTCTAGTACAGGCATGTGCTAATAGTTGTTTTACATAAATCATCTTCTGTTCATCTTAAAAAATGCTTACACCATGTTGCTTTTTTTTACACATTACAGAATAACCAGTATGCATAGTAGTAGATTAATGACTATAAAAGTCAGATTTACTCTGCAACTTTTGCAAAACACAAAAAAATTGTGGGTTAGGAAATATTAAATGGTTTTATATCTCCCATCAGAAAATATAAGAGCAAAAAGAAAAATTTGGATGTTAGCTGCAATGTCATGCCAAGTTATTTGTGAGCATGCCCTGCTATTTTAAAAGTTAAGATAGTTGAATATAAATAATTTCAACTAAGTGAATAAGATAAAACTAATTTCTACCAGAATTACTTTATATGCACCTAGTATTTCAAATGATACTAATTTGCTTGCTTTTAAGAATGTCTCTGTGGCTTTCATACATCTTGTGAATGCTCATTTCTGGGTTTTTGTTTTGTTTAATTTGCCTTTGATTTTAGTATATATTGTTTCTTTCCTAAACAATCGGAAGGAAATTATTTAAACCAGCACTAGTGTAAATTTCAAAAGCATACCCAGGTACCAGGAGATGGACATTTCAGATCTCAGTCCTTTTATTAGCATTAAACAATAGCATGCATTATGCAAGATTCAGTTTAAGAACATGTGATATCCTCATGATCTTCCCTATTAAATATAAAAGTGGAACGGTTTTGCCAATCAGCTTAATATGTAAACTGAAATTTTGAGAGAGAAATTGTGTCAATAAACATGCACATAAATCCTCAAATAGTATGCGGGAAGTACATGTATGTGAATACAGTATAGAGCAGAGTTCCCCAAACGTTTGGGCACCAGGGACCAATTATATGGAGAGGGGGTTTTTCGTGGACCGGAGGGGCTTGGTTTTGTGTGCTGCCTGCATCTTGCAGATGGGGCTTTCTTATTTGTGTGGCCTCGTTGCTGCCATGCTGCAGCCTGCTACCGGTCTACGGACTGGGGGTTGGGGACCCTTGGTATAGAGTCCTGACTGGAAGTTCAAGCACATTAAGTCTTAACTTCAATTTCTCACAATTAAAATAAAACTAACTTGCTACCTTATCAGTTTAAAAACTCAAAAATAATGGGGTTTAAATACAACTGTCATTATTGCAGAATTATACATCTGTCTTCCAAAGTGAAGTAGGTAAGTGATAACATTTTTAAATTGTATTTAGAAACATTTGAAAAATAATAAAGATCATGATGTACTACTGTACTTTTAAATTTATTTACACATATTGCTAGCTGTAAAGATTCAAAAATAACATTAAGAAAAAACAACAGAATTGCTATTCAGCTTTGGACATAATTCCTGGAAAAAAATAGGTAACTTTTTTCTTAATTTCATATTCAAATCTTTGCAATATTTTCAATAATGCATTTTATTAAAAAGGGAATAAACTATAAGTTACAATGTTAATTTGTAAAATTCAATTAAACATGACATATTAAAAGTTTTATTTAAGGATAAGTTTTCCTTTTCTTGTATTTTTAATTCCAGTTAGACTTCTAAAGTTAAGGAAGTTATAAAATGGCTAAATCATAATCTATACTGTACTCTTTTCTATAAGATATGTAAGAGACTTATCTATTTCTTATGTGATATAATGGTTGTTTAGCTTATCCATATGCTCTGTTCCATTACTATTTTTTTCTGCACAGTAGTAGTTGTCATGCATACTAGTAGATGGCAACCATATAGGCATTTGTGAGTGCATAGGTACGTACAAATGCACACCTGTAGAAAACAACATAATCTGTAGAATACTGTGTTTTCTGGACGTCATATTTGGTGAAGGAGCTGTGACTCTAAAGAAAAAGAACAATGATACATATTTGTGTATTCTTTCCCATTACTAATAAAGATGAAGTTACATTTCATCTAAAATGCCTCTACTTTGCTCAACCAACACAAGTATGCAGTTGGTTGCTTATAAACTATTTTTCAAGAAATTTCTACATGTTCTTAGTTTTAAAAGCTCCCTTGTAAAGAATGATATTTATTAGAACTTAGCCATTTTCATGAATTTCCCAGATTAATAAAATGAGATTCAAGGTTCGTGCAATGAATATAGCAACATTTCTTCATGAAAATCATTTTAAAAATACCTTAGATGTTAAATGAGAAGTCTTGTGATCTTTCCTCCCCCATTTTACTTTAAAATTTTAATCACAAGTTACTGGAAATCAGAAAATCATTAAATTATCATGTATTGAGCAACAATATAAAAAGTGTCGTGTTATTCTGCATCACTGAATTTCACAAAATCTTTATACATTTTCAATTTTTGAGAAGTTCATGTCAGTTTTTTTTATTGTAAGCATTTAATATGTAAAATCTATAAAAGTATGTTCAGATACATCCATGGTTTGAATTTTTTTGTATATACATATGTACACTGTAGCTTAAAGATGCAGTTTTCTATTATTGGCACGATAAAGATATAGTATAATACCTGATAATTAAATTCAGTGAATATTTTTTTTTTTAATTCAATGGACTGCAACAGCAAAGCTGGTGGAAGAAAAGTTGCAGAATATGTTCTGGTTAGTTGTAACAGTTTTTAACATGAAATAAAGAAACTGCAGTCTTAAAGTGCAATTACTATTGTGCAGTCATGTCAGACCGTAGATCAGATTGGATGAAGCTCAAAGAAATGAGTGCTGTTCATGATTCAAATACAGGAAAGCATGAGGAAATAACAAAAGTTTGGGGCATTCAAGTGCATCAAGAAAATAATTATTCTTTTTTGTCTTAAAAATGCCATTCTCATGAATCCCAATTCCTATATTGCTCTGATCTGAGAAATTTCAAAATGTTCTAGCTGAGAAGGTCCAAGTGTGGCACAGTATAAATAGCCACTATTGTGGCTAGCACAAATGCACAGGAATTCCTTGCTGATGCTCCACTATTATACCATCCTAGAATGTTTTCTTTTAATGTTCCTTCTATTCTTGGGGCTGCTGATGTACACTGAATTAAGGGCATTTGATAGGAGGTTGCTCTTTTTTCTGGTCTGTCTGGGCTGGATCCATCACTAGGCCTTTGGCCATTATATAGCAAGTATTTCCCCCTAGTATCCTGCTCCATTTTGAAGATCTCATATTCTGTGTGAGGCAGACGGATTCCCAAAGCAATACATCCATTTGTATGAGTCACATCTTGCTGCACCCCAACTTGCCAGGATCCTTCTGCTCCACACTCATTTCCATTGAAAACATTCAGTAGAGAGGCTGTAGCTATATCCATGGGGGTAACTTTCATATGATTCACTGCAAAGAGAAGAAACTGCTCATTATGTTTTGAAGAATAACAATGGTCCAGTCATGACTTGATGCTATTCTGTGAACATAATCAAAATCCTTACATTTAAATTATGATTTTCCTTTGACCTGTGCTTTTATACATTAAAATTGATGTAACTGTAACAGGCCTAAGATTAATTTGCTTCAAAGGTATTCCAACACTTGCCCATCTGCTCCAGCATTCTATTTCCAATGGTATTCAGCAAGATCCTTTCAAAAAACAACTATTCCTCTTTTTATTTCCTTTTAAACAATTGATTTTCAGATACCACTTTTTAGACTTAGAGATTCCATTAGAATTCATAACTAACATATGTTAACAGATGTATTCTCTATCAATGTGGCTAATATTTAAAGGTGCCTAAGTTACCATCTATCACATCTTGTAGGATTGTTATGCACTGAGTGAAAATATCTCAGATATCATAAAAGCAAAGTCCACATATGTTACTTGTGGTCTTAAGTATTAAAATTAAGCAGAGTATATGGATATTCTCAATATATGCTCGGTCTTTAGAAATAGCCTTAAAATAATGCTTTGAGGGGACCTAAAATATCACCTGCCCATCTTTGTGTCTGGATATTATTGTATGTTTCTGCTTTTTTTATTATTGTAGTCAGGGTTGCTGTAATGAATGCAGAGACTTGACTAAGAACAAACAGCAGATCTGAGTGATGGTAGCGCTTCCACAGCTGGGCAATTCCAACCAAGTAGAAAAGTGCTTTATTGCCCTTCTCTGAATAACTCTTGAAAAACTGATGCAGTGGGGACAGAATGCATTTCATGCAGCTAAAGATAGCATTCATTTTAGCTCCATCTTCATTATGTCTCTCAAAGTATTTTCACATTATAGCTACTGAGTGTATATGTAGAAAATGTGCTGTGCAGAAAAATATTAAAAACACTCAAAAGAATTAGTTTCTGTTTGTGACGGTACTGGATTAGTACTCTAGTTTTCTAAGATGCAAACAAGTGGCATAACTATGTTTGCAGTATTAAAGTTCTTAAAGAGATGGGAGTACCAGAACATCTCATTTGTCTCTTGAGAAACCTATATGCGGGTCAAGAAGCAACAGTGAGAACTGGACATGGAACCACTGATTGGTTCAAAATTGGAAAAGGAGTCCGGCAAGGCTGTATACTTGGACTGCAAGGCGTTCAAGCCGGTCAGTCCTAGAAGAGATCAACCCCGACTGCTCTTTAGAAGGCCAGATCCTGAAGTTGAAACACAAATACTCTGGCCACTTAATGAGAAGGAAGGACTCACTGGAGAAGGGCATAATGCTGGGAAAGATTGAGGGCAATAGAAGAAGGGGACGACAGAATGAGATGGCTGGATGGAGTCACTGAAGCAGTAGGTGTGAACTTAAATGGACTCCAGAAGATGGTAGAGGACAGGACGACCTGGAGGAACATTGTCCATGGGGTCGCGATGGGTCGGACACGACTTTACAATTAACAACAACAACTGATCTGTGAATAATAAATGATATCCCTCAATAACTTTGTTGTAGCTGTGCGCTGCTGAATCCAAATGTTTCCAGAGGTCATCATCTTGCATCCAATATATGTGGATATTGTGCAACCAGAAAAGCAATGAGCTGGCAGTTTTGAATGGGTTTTGTTCATAAGTAGTATTTCAACAATGCATTTTTTTAGAATTTTAGCATGCATAGTGTTTACAAATACATAATTGTGTTGCTTATTACTGCCAAGATTTTGTGAAAGTCCACTCTGAGTAGAGTGGGCACCTGAAACTTTCCTTTACATGGGTAGTTGCATTTGATTTCAATGGAGGGAGCTGAGTGAAATATAAAATAGGTAAGCTTTTAGGATAAAATGTTATAAGAACATTTTATGGACAAAATATATCTTTTACAGGCCATCAGAATAGTATATAAAGTCCACCTTCCCTTAAGGCAGGGATGTCAAACTTGCAATGTCACGTGACGTGTCACAACGTATTGTGACTTTTTCCATTGTCGGCAATGGGGTGGGCGTGGTTTCAGCATGATGCATTCGGCCCGTGGGCCTGCAGTTTGACACCCCTGTCTTAAGGTTTCAGAGGAGACAGAAATAGATGTTTCATTGTACTGTAGTCATCCATTTGCAAGGCCCTTGAATTCAATTCCCAATAATTCCCAACAGAGGGCCTGTACCTCAGAATGTCGTCTAACTACCCACATCTGACAATTTTAACAAGGATGAGACTAGTAACATGCTGGTTTTTGGTGTTAATGTAACTCATCTTAAAGAGACCTTGGACTGAAGCCATGAGCAATATTGCCCAATTTTTTTCATTTTCTTTAACCTAGGTACAAATAACTTCTGGATAACTTACTCATGAGATTAAACCCTGAAATTGCTAGAGCTATTAGTTTTGATCTGATGCTTGAACTATAGTAATAAAGTCTTAAAAGTACAGGTAAAATTTATTATTTTGAAAAATAAGGGATTTGTATGTTCTGTGTGGATTTCATATGGTGAAAATTTTATTACACTTAATGCATATTTATTGCAAACACTTACTTAGAGGAGAATGCAGGTTATTTCTTGTAAAATTGGATCAGGAACAAAGCCTTATGGCTTCTTTTATTACAACAAAGTACCAGCAGGAAAAAAGCTTTTATTTAAAAAATGTGATAAATGTAATTTGCAGTTTGGTTTTAACAATTGTGCATATGAAAGTCTTAGAAACGCAGAAATCCTATCATTTTATCTCATTTGCTGGCAAGAAGAGCAAAGTGGGGTAAATTTATTTTCCTTCCCCCATTACCTATAAACAATCAGTATGTAGACATTAATGTTTTCATATGGTGTAATCCTATTTTTTTTCTAAAATAGAAATGTAATTTAACATTCATACCTTTCACAATTTTAGAATTAGACCATAAAATATACATACTAAGTGTAGAATATGTCTACTCATTAGAGGTCATTATATTTACAATTTTTGACTTGTTTTTGAATCAGTTAAGATCAATTGATCTACTAATTTTTAAACATTGCAAACGTTTCTAAATGCATTCCACAAACTGCCACACCTCTGGATTTGCACATAACATCCCATTAAAAATAATGCTCCATTTGAAAAATTGATTTCTTGGTAGGAAAATTGAAGATAAATGTTTTTTGTTTCTTAATGCTCTTGGCCAGCCAAGCTTATAAACTATGGAAATATTGTGGAGAGAGAATGATGCAAAACTTCAATTAAATATCCTTTAAAAAGTGTTCTGTAGCCGCCAAATGGGAATTAAGCTTCAGATAATGGCGGCCATTAACATATTACCCTCTTTTGAGCCTTCATCTAGCATAATTTCCTGAGGAAAGATAATCTATAAACACCAGTTTGTGGAAAAACAAACTTGCTTTATATGAACCAAGTTATTTTGATCCTGAGAAGAACGACTAGATGTAATTTAAATTAGTTTAGTTTTAACTTGCAACTGAACTAAATAGTCTCCCTCAAAAGAATTCTCAAGCAGACATTTCAATTCTGGTGTCAATGTCATATATAAAAACTCAAACTCCAGCAAAAGTTTTTCCCTGCCATTACCAATATATATGTAATTTCATTTTAAAAGTTTAGTTTTACTTTAACATTTATGGCAATAATCTCAGTCAACCCTTGTGACCAGTTAACTGACCATTTAGCCAGGGAAGCTGTTCTATAAGGTAATTTACCTTGCAAAAGGTAATTTTAAATTTTGTCATGTCACCTGATTTAAAAAAAAAAAAGGCTGTTAATCAGCTCTGTAGACTTAGGTTATGTGTTTGCTTGGCTCAAAGCCAACATCTCAACCAATATGGTGGGGGAGCACTTTTGATTCAAAGGGAAGAGGACTTTCAAGTATGTGCTTAAGCTTTTAGACAGCACCTGTTGGAAACGCCTGAAGTCAAATTTGACTTTCTCAGGATTGTGTAGCTGCCCTGCAGAATGACAGCACAATGCTAGGAAAGGATATGTGTGGGTTAAGGAGCTAACAGGCAGTTACCTGCACACAATCTGAAATCAAGGGGCTAAACTTTGCTCAACCAAACTAAACAAGGGTTGTATTGAGCTCTACACTTACATTGTGAAAGTTGCTTCCAAAGATCTCTTTTTTTTTATGCCAGCCTTCTCTAATTCGGTGCCCTTCAAATATATTGGGCTTACAATTCTGCTTGAAAACTCTACAGTGTTTCTCAGCTTTAGCTAGCGACTTTAGAATATGTGGACTACAATTCCCAGAATTCCCCAGCCAACACAGAAACATAGTTCTAGCAGGTATAAACACAATACAGCTAAAGGCAGGAGATTAGGAAAACTGCCTGAAACCATATTTCCTTCCTACTTCTCTCCTTACCTAAAACATAAACAAGCTCTTGCTATCTTTTCCCTTTAATAACATGCATATCTTAACTTTTCTTGATTAACTGCCTTACCTTGCACACCCCCCAAGACTGTAATTAAATTACAACAATACAAATGGGCAAACAGAAGCAGTGTAACTTCCTGGTATTTTTGGACAGAAAACAAAACAAAAACAAAAATCCACTGGTGTACGAAGCCCCTCATGAGGTTTAAAATTATTGCCCACAACCAAAAGAAAGAAACACACACCTCACATTCCATCTCTTCCAGTAAACCTTATTGCATCACCCTCTCACTCAGAATGAAAGAATCTGAACCTGAAGAGAACAGAATCTTACCTTTAAAGACAAATTCTGTCCCTCCCATCACTTTGGATGAATGTACACCCCTGCTGTAACGGCCTTTTGCATAAATAGTGAAGGTTGGATGCTTGCAGATTGGATCAGAGTAATGATAGTAGTGACCTTCCCAGGTGTTATTGTTGTCATGGAAAACAAAGTGTCTAGTAAGAAAGAGCACTTCAGGACGTACTTCACAGCGCTGGCTCACCCATTCCCCATGTAATCCAATAGTCAAATCAGCCTTTGGAGGCAAAATTGGAGGATGGTGTTCATCTGATCGATAAATGATCCTACAAGCTATGCACGAATGGTCGTGGTTCTGGAAAAAGAAAATTGGTAATTGTATGAAATACAATTCATTTTGTAATGCTCATAACCTTTGCCTATCATATGGGTCATGTGCTTAAATGTAGCTAGAATAAAAAATGAGATAAAACTAGCTTTGCTTGCTTAAGAGATCAGGGTGCTTGAAAACTATTTCATGCTGGAAATAAATTTTTAGACTTTTTTTAATAAAAAAAATCCCTTTGAGCATTCACAAGCCGTAGTATGTTATTTAACAGTGGTGAAAATAAACATTCTGATCTTTCTTACAACTATACAAGAGATGTATTTTCTTTCTTATGGTGGTCCATCTCTATAGAACAAAGTTAAGTAATCCTAATTCCTTGATACATGTAAAATTGCATAGGGTTAGGTTCAGGAAATGAGCCTGAGCAAAAACGAAGGGTTTTTTTTTTCTTGCCAAAATATTGTACCCCAATTCAAGAAAACACTCTGTTTGTTTAAAGAACTGCTAAATTCTCTCCCAATCTTATTACTTTTCTGTGCCTTTTCTAAGTCAACCTTCCAAAAAAAAAAAAAAAAAAAAAAAACAGGCTATGATTGATAACTTTAATTTAATGGATTTTTTAAAATGTAAATTAACATTGTTTATTCTCCAATAGCTATTAAAAATGCTATTCTGTAATTTTGTTCCCTTTACTGAAATTTGAGGATAAAGGTCAAGAATCCATTCTAAAAACAAAAACAAAAAAACCCCAAACCTATTTTAGGCAATCAATTTGATTTACGTGAAACCACTTAGATTCTGCATTTGAAACTGAATGTATTGCTATATTAAATATATGGAATCTGGAAAAGCATGAGAATCTGAAATCTAAGAAGTCTTAGTAAGCAAAATTTATATTCTAGTACAAAAATCAAAAATTTTCACTTGATTAATACTTTATATAGTTCTTACTCTTAATTATAAGTCATTAATCCTGTTTTATTCATCTGCATTTTCCTATTTCATAGATGAAAAATATAGCATTTTACATGTGGAGAATGATCTTCCTTTTTCTATATTTAATTATCCCAAATGCAAAGTATTAGTTTCCTGTATTTAATATAGATTATAAAATGAAATACTATGTTAAATCCCAAATCTTACTCAAAAGCCACTTCTTCATAGCATACATTCTTATCAGCCTACTAATTTCAAAAAGATGAATAAACTACTAAATGAAAATATGCATCAGAAACAAAATAAGGAATTAATATTTTGACAGGGAAAAAGGGAGAATTACTGTATTCTGTAGCTCTGATGCACACAATCTGAAATTATAATATAGTCTATGAATCATTTTCAAAAAGATAAAGGCTTAAGAAATGCAATTTAGTTTTAAGTAGTTGGAACAAAAGTAAACTCTTTTTTATTCCTATCCCCTTTCACTCTATGCTTATATTTTCTCCTTTAATGATGAAATAGTAAAATTAAAATGCAGTTCAAGAATTGCAGAGTTTAACCATTTTTTTTAAAATATCTGTTATGAGGCCAGCACTTTAAATAAAAAATATACATGTAATTTGCTTTTTTCATAACTTTTTCTGAGTATGTTTATGTAGCTTTTCTATTTTAGACAACATTATCCTGGTTAATAATAATAAATGCCTTGCTCAGATTCAGTGAGACTAAAAATGTTTCAGGAATTATTTTTCCTGTCCTTTTCTCTATATCTCAGCATGCTTCAATAAAAATGTCCAGATGCTCTGATGTATATCAGTTTTATCCAATAACCTATATCAAGCTATGCCAGTTCCAGTTTGTTGACTAGGAATTGATTTGTATTTTAGTTAAAAAGCTAAAGAGTTACAAACAGGTAAGAGAAATAAGAGAATGGTTTTAATTTGAGCTAACTTTGATTTGCTTTAAAATAAGTACTTAGTTGTGAACCTTGAAGCTCATAAAACGTTGCGTTACAAAAATTGAAGAAAAAGGACATGCCAGGTCAGAATTACTCTATATTTTGTATTTTATATAATACAAATGATAACCTTTAGTTTTATGAGACATTTGGGTGTAGCCAATACTCCATTATAGAATTATTTTGGGGGTAGATTCACTTAATTTTGAGCAGGGTATTTTTTAAAAAACATTCCTTTAGCTCTTCAGTATATTTTGATAGTTTGAAATGCTAACATACTATTACAGACTACAGCACAGCTTTAAGCACAACTAATTTGTGAGATTAAAAATATACTGTCACCTGAAACAATATATTGGTGAATTACAATATTTTGATCAATGCGGTTACAATAGTTTATCAGGAGATTTTCTTGTCATCATCTTTATTTATTTGCTTATTTGCCAATTTGCTTTGTAATCACCTTGTTCAGTGTAATCTCTTGTTTACCCAATCACTACCTGAAAAAATAACATCTCTAGAGTTCTATGGCAAATGATCTATCTTATCTACTTAGTTTACTATTAAATAATACCAGGTATGTTTGTTAATACAAATTTCTATACCTAATATAAAATAATAAATGTTTCAAATGAGAAAACTGAAAGGCAACATTTGATTTACTTCAGTTGCTTTGTCCTGAACAATGTATTTTGCATCTCTCTCTCTCTAAAACACTCTTGCTTGGCCCTTTGGGACTCAGTCTGTGGGCTCCACCAAATCTTATCTCCTATGTTCTATAATATCTTTAGGCTATAAGGGACCTGAATGTTGGAGAAAAAGCTGAAGCTGAATTCAGATGAAGCAAGATCTCCTGTTGCTGATTCTGGGAGGCAAATTTTGAAATTGGGAAGATGCCCCTGACTCTTTCCCCTAAGAATCAAGTTTTCTGCCTGGTGTTCCATCTAAATTTGACACTGATACTCAGCAATTGTGTTATATAAATGGCATTTTTATTAACTTGAGCTGATAATCCATAGCCAATGTTTAATATTGGATTACTGCAGTTTACTCATTTGAACAGGGTCCAGAAACCCAACTGGTCCAGAAAGCAGTAGGATGGATATGGCACTTTGTAAAAGTGCTATATTAGTCCTATACTGAAGTAGCTGAACTGGTTACTAATTCCTTGTCCGTTACAAATTGCTGAGCAAATTGTGCAAAGACAAACATGACAAAGGCCTAAGTTACTTTCATAGAGTACACCCTACACTTTAGGGCTCTTCTTTACAATACATTAATGTGCTCCCTTCCCATGCTTGAGACAATGTTGATATAAGTGCTGCTCCCACAGACTATTTTTATCATGTTTTACAAGCACAGCCACTCAGGATTGCTGACTTCATAAAGTGTAAATTAGGACAGGCTTAAAGTAGTGATTGAATGCCCTGAAGTCCTTTCTCTACCACTTGTGTTACCTCCTGGTGAAGAAAACCAATTACTCAGTCCTAATTAAATGGCAGAAAGGAAGATTCAGGCTGCCAGTTTTATTATTCTTTCTTTCTTTCTTTCTTTCTTTCTTTTTCTTCCTTTTATATCTATCTATCTATCTATCTATCTATCTATCTATCTATCTATCTATCTATCTATCTATCTATCATCTATCAATCGGGATATCAATGTCTTAGAGCAGTGGTTCTCAACCTTTCTAATGCCGTGACCCCATAATACAGTTCCCCATGTTGTGGTGACCCCAAAGTGGGTGTGGCCACCAATAAGAGGGAGTAGGACAGCTAGGGAAAAGGGAAAAAAATGGCGGACAGCGTGGTTTGGCGACCCCCATGAAATGGTCGTTCGACCCCAAATGGGGTCCCGACCCACAGGTTGAGAACCACTGTCTTAGAGGATATGGGAGATCAAGAGATCAGTATACCTTTCAGTGGGAATACATGTAGACCCTCAAACTTTGTTCTCCATTTTTAAAAGTAAAACAAATGACTTGGCCATTATGTTGGACTGCTGGTTGTGGGGAGTCCCCAATATAGGAAACAGAGAACCAAAAAGGTCAGGAGCAACCCAAATTAAATAAATCTAAAGTATCAACAGTGAAGCGTTTACCAATCTTGGAAAGAAACATCAGCATCCCTAGAGAAAGTCCCTTATTAACAAGGCCCTTGCATTTACTAACCAACAGAAAATAATACAAAATGAATAATACAAAAAGTTCATTTAAATTAGCTCAAGATTGATGGATGCAGAAAGTTGTAAATGCCTTGTTCAGACAGTGTGGTGTCCACCTCTTTAAAAGAGACAGTGATCAAGCTGTTCCTGAAGAAACAAAACCTGGACTCAGTGGATGAAAACAGTTGCATACTCTAATGGTCAATACCCTCTTGCTAGGCTGGACGTTTGTGTAGGTGGTAACTGATCAGTTACATATTTTCTTGGGTAAAAATGATTTCTAGATTCCTTTCAAACTGGTTTCAGATTTAGCTATCAAAAAGAAATCATTTTGGTCACCCTGTGGAATGATCTGTGTCAGGAAAAAGATAGAGATAGCAATCCTGTTGGTTCTCCTCAATCTATCAATATCCTGAAAATATTGAACATAGCGTCTTGTTGGACAGACCATCTGAGTTGGAGGTGAAGACCCTGTACCACGGTATTTCTGATCCTATTTCAAGAGCGATTTCCAGCTGCTTTATGGCAACTGGGCTATGGAATCCCTCAATTTTAAAGTTTTTCTAAATTCTCTTCTTTATTATAAGTAAGCTAATATTTATGTTTAAAATTTAAAAACATTATCAAGCAAGCTTTACTAGACAGATTCTCTACAATTGATTCTCTTCAGAGAGTTTTCTTGTTTTTGTGTTTGATGGCCAAAAATCTGATGTAAGTAGTCGATTTAATGTCTTTGTTTTCCAATTCCAGAAGCAACTAAGATTAGAACTTTTAAATATAGTCTAGTATTTAGAGTTGATTTTCATCAGTGTTGCTGTGGGTAATGAGAAAAAGAAATTCAAGACAGAAGGATAATAATTATGCAAGCCATTTTATATTTAATGTTAGTCTTGTTTTATGCTTACCTCATAAGTAATCAAATTACAGTTGTTCACTTGATAAATATTTCGGCAAAGGTTATTTTATTTTATTTCTTTTACAAGAAGAGGTACTGGAATATGACACATTTCCATGAAACAGTATCATATATGCTTTCAAAATAATTACCTCCAAGAAGAAGAATATACATAACTTATACTGTTATGTATAAGAATATACATAATATGTTCATAACTGTTGGGGTAAAAAACATCCTGGAGGCAAGTTTAATATTTTAAAAAGTAGGACATGGGAAAAGTAATAGATGCTCTTTGCAGCCACATGAATTCTTTCTTCAAACTGCAATTTTACTTCAAATAGAAGTTCTACTTTTGTTTAAGTCTTATCACAGCATTCCCAATTTTCCCATTAGCTACGCTGGCTAAGCATTCTTGTAGTTAAATGTCTGGAAGATGCTTTGTTGGGGAAAGCCGCCCAATACGCCCCCCCCCCTCACTTAATTGCACAGTCTGACCCAAAGACTTTAGAGTCATATCTGCACTTTTGTTTGAAATGGAACATTACATCAAAGGGCTCTGGATCTGAGCCAGACAGCCAGTCCCTCTGTTCTTTTATTGCATATTCATGAAAATAAAACAATTTGTAACACTGCATACAATAAAATTATATAGTCTAAAATATACCATATGCTTCACTTAAGTATGCACTGTCCAAATTTATACTACAAAACATTCAGAAGGATTAATACAGTTCAACCAGTGGTGGGATTCAGCCAGATTGCACCACTTCGGCAGAACCGGTAGCTAATTTGTTGTTGCCCAGACGCAGAATGGACTTCCGGAAGCGGCATCCACACAGAGAACCGGTTGTTTCCATATTTGAATCCCACCACTGAGTTCAACCAAGAAAAAAAATGTTGCTTTGGTTATAAATACTTTATAGGTTCATTCAATCGCACTTTATTTTAAAGGGTAGGCCAAATTAATTATGATCATATTTTCATGATACGAAAATGTTTAAAGAATAAACTTGAAGTAATCCTGAAAGATTCTGTTGGAATTAACTGATGACAACTCTGATTTCAAATGTGGTTACAATTGCAATGTACATTCCTTTGAGATGTCATCAGAAAAGATGTACAGCTCTAAATGTGAAACTTTAACAATATATTCTCATTATTCTATTATATTCTCATTATTCTATGTTTTTGTGAATAGCTTATTGAGGGGCTGTGGCTTCAGTTTTTACTACAGCTAAAATGTTTAAATGCCTCTTTAAACATATTGTTAACTCTTCAGTTGTCATCTTCTTTATGAAGCACATTCTGTAAGAAACAGTCATCTGATTCCAGGATCGCATATAGTTTAATACCGAGTTACTTCCTTAATACTCTTAGTGGACTTCTTTGGATATCAGGCTTTCCAAAATGTATGTATGTATGTATGCATATATGTATATAAAATAGTTTTTCCTGCTGTAAAACTCCAAGATAAGAAAAAATATTACTAGGAAAGGTGTCATAATGATTATTAGACATAACCATAATAAATATTAGAGAAGCTTGTGGTAACACCTTACTCAAAAGAAAAGTAAATCTTACATTGGTGTGTTCCACTGCATTGGAGTCACATGAAATATCACTAAATTATCCCATAATGCAAAAGTAAATATACCAGTGTTATAAAGTTAGCAACTTTAATATATCTGAATTTTAACTCCCAGAATCCCCCATCCAGCTGGGAAGTCCAGACATTTTAGTATTTCTAAAGTCGAGAAACACTACTCTATGCAATCTTAATTTCATGACCATCAGTACCACTCTCTGTATTCTTGTCAGCTCCTCCCAAGTTCTCTTCTTCCTCAAATAGATATCAAAATAGGCAACTGTTAGGCCTCTTTACCCTACCTGTAGTATGAAAGTATATTCCTCCTGCATGGTCCTTCTGATCCTCCTGATCAATAAGCCAAACTGTCAGTATGCTGGAATGATCCTCATGTTATTTTGAAGGACACATGCATCACAACTTGAGGAACTCTATTTTAAGCTTTTGTCTCTGTTGTTGATTGCCATCGTTTTCTCCCCCCCCCCCATTTCTGTTTTCTCAGACATGTTTTTTTCTTTCTTTCAGTAAAAATCTTCCCCATTAGCATGAACCTTTCTGGGGCTTTAATTATAATCACACTTCATGCAAATATCAAAACCTATTGTTGATGTTGCATTGTAATGTGGTGGGCATTGTAATAATTATTACAGTATTAACAAAAGACAAAAAGAAAAAAGTTGATAGGTGAAATAGAGAAAATGCTATTAAATAATTTCAGGAATTGCTTTCATTAATTTTTTATTCTTCTCAATCTTGGATGCTACATTTCAGTCAAGACTTGTAAGACAAGAATTTTATTCTTTGATTCACACAAGGATATGCTTATCCTAAATCTGTGTTATTCCATTCTGTTATAAACAGTTGCCCCTTTAATTCTAGCTGCTATAATTGGGTTTGTTTCATTGTGACTTATGATCTTCTAAATCAAAGGTGGGGAACCATGGACCCTTTATACCTGTGGACTTCAATTCCGAGAATTCCTGAGCCAGTCAGGGAAGTTGAAGTCCATAGGTCATAAAAGGGCCATAGTTCCTCACCCCTGTTCTAAATGGATGCCATTTCCCTCCAATGAAATGATCGAGAACCAAACATGCTTGGAGATTATATAAATCAGAGGTGGGAACCAATGGCCCTTTTATGACTTGTGGACTTCAACTTCAACTCCCAGAATTTCTGAGCCAGCAGGAATTGAAGTCCACAAATCATAAAGGGGCCATCATTCCCCACCCGATATAAACAAATGCTGTCCATTGAGGAGGATTGCCCATATTCTGCTGCTTTATAACATTAATTCCTTTCAAAAGGAAAGCACTAGAATTTCCGTTTAATAATTTCCATATTTTCTACAATTTTGAGGGAAAAGATACTATCAGCTGTGCTGGCTGGTAGACTAATACATTTTAACAAATTGTGCCTGAGTTGCTTCCCCCGATATGCTTCTTCCTTAGGGGGGAGGGGGTCAGAGAGGAGACAGTTACTGATCACATGTAAGCCATTCTGAATACATTTTGGATAAAGAGCAAGGAGAAAATATTATAAAGCAAATTAAATATATAAAATACATAAAAGATGAAGAAAAGTTAGGCTTTGAAAAAATCTTATGAAATGCCCTTTGAAAATATTGAAAAGCAATGAACTACTATACATTATTTACTGTTTCTTTTTTGCAATCATTATGAAAATCTATACAACAACTAGTTTGTCATAACCTTATTCTACTTTTATCTTTCCTATACATATAAAGTACCTCACTTTTAATAAAATATGAAATATGTAATTGCCTTTCAGGTGGGTGGTTGGCCACACAGTATATTTTTCAGTTATTCAAGAAATTTTGCAATGTATACTCTTGTAACTATCAGACAGATTTTAAAGAGCAGAAACTTTTGAGAGTATGGATCAATGCTTCCTTGCCACCAAGGAAAATATTCTGCCAAGCAGCAATGCCTGCAGGATCTTGCTGTTTTCATCAAAATGACAAAAGCAATATTATTGCATTCTGTCAGCAAGCTCCATCTCTTTTGTACATGTATGTTGCACTGCACTACATCTATTAAAGACTCAGGGTCTATGTCATGATACTGCTTTTAATATTCTGAACCCCACTTCCCCCTCTAGATGCCACTGCTGTAAATATATTGAAAAAAATGATACATTGCAACATTCTTTCCAATTAAAACATTAAAAACATAAAACAGATTTGATCCTACAAGTCTGCATCCAAGGTGCAAATTAGAAAGACACGAAAAAGTGGAACACAAGTGATAAGCCAGCAAACAGAAAATAGCAGTTTGAATGTCAGATAAGAAGATGTAACAGTGAGGATAATAAAGTTTAGAAGGCATAACTGACAGACAAGACAAGCAACCCTGATAAGGAATACAAGTGAAAACAGATAAAACCTGCATGGCATCTGGATTTAAGTTTTGGGCTAAGTAATTTAAAAACATACTTCATTTACATGTCTTAGAAATACAACTGAAATGTTCACATACCTTGGCATTTTGGAGTGGAGATTGATAACTGGATGGGCGATAATACATCCTTTGAGCAGGATCTGTGTGGATATCTCCAAGAAACAGTTCTTCTACTAAGTGATCTAAATTATGGTGCAAGTATTGTTTCTCTACTCGAATCAGTTGAAGTTCATGCATAGCAAAATTCAGTGCCTTTGTGCACTCATAGCCATTCTCTTCTCTCCATAAATCATAGCTCACGTTCTGCTCCCAAGGTTTAGCTTCTGTTACAAATCCAGGACAGGTACGGTTCACCAACTGATTTAGTTTATCAGCTACTGCCTCATTATGGCAGATGATCTGAATGTTATGCAATTGATAATCCGCTTCGGTCCCTCCTCGGATAATCCAGGATGCTTGGCGAAGGCGGACTTTACCACGGATAACTAAGGTATAGATTGGGGTGGTACACCGATTGCTTCCATAGTAAAACTGATAAGCTTTAAATGTATTGTTATGGTAGAATCTGTAGGATCTTGTGATGAATTCTGGACCTGCTCTAACTTCACAACTACAGTCAAACATAAAAAATAAACCCTTAGTTAAAGTATGAAATTATAAAACTTAGTTATTGTCAAAACAGGTTCGGGAGTTAATACATCTCTAAATAACAACCTGTTCATATATAGGACAACGATAATTGGAATACTTGAACGTTAGTGTTTGTATATGTAACAATATTTGCTTTGATTTCTTAACAGAACCCTTTTATTTCTCTTTATTTCTTGTTTATTTCTCCTTTTTTATATACTAAGAATTTATGGTATGCTGTATGGAGATATTTTAATGAAATTTCTATAAAGGTGCTTCATCCACATTCCTATCAAAATACTGAATCATCTTCCAAATTTTAGATCAGTAGTTTAAATGTATTCTAGATTAATAATGTAACATATGCTACACTAATATATTAAACAAACACCTGTATCAAATAGTTGTATACAGACTATAAATGCAAAAGATGATGTATGAAATGAACCATCTTGCTGTTAGCCAATTATAAATAAGAAATAATTCACCGAAGAAATGAGCTTCTATAGCTTCTATCAGAACCTTTTACGGACTTGAATGAAGACTGGTATTTATCGAAGTAATTGTCCTATTAAGTTTAACTGTGGCTTTTGTCTGAATAATGACTGCTGGATTAGGAGTTGTAATCCTAAATATATAATTTAGAGTACCGTAAATGCCGGCGTATAAGGCGACCCGGCGTATAAGACGACCATCTTTATCGCCGGGCTGTATTCCTGGAACGTTGTCTTATACGCCGGAAACTACCAGTATTTCCGGTGTATAAGACGACTCGGCGTATAAGACGACCCCCGTCTTTGGCACCGAGTTTAGCGCTTGCGGAAGTCGTCTTATACGCCGGCATTTACGGTATAGCATAAAAGAAGACTATAAAATAAATCTTACTCTAAAAGAACATCTATAATGTCAATTAAACATTTACACATGCTTGGGTTGTCAACTGAAACTTGGTAATTTCAACTTATTAATGAATTTGTACAGATGTCAGAAGACAAAACATGAAATCATGAATTTATTCACCAGATCCTATAATACTTAAGTTCCAACAAGAGAACAGCATATGAACAATTTTATATTATGCTGCAGGTTCCAAGTAAGGAAAATAAAAAATATTTAAAATGGCTAAAACACAGATTGTGGTCACAAAATTCTGCAGCCAATCACAACAACCACTTTGATACTTATGGAGAGAGAGGGGGGGAGGGAGGCAGGGAGAGAGGGAGGGAAGGGATGGGATAGAGAGGGAAGGGAGAGGGAGGGAGGGGGAGACAGAGAGGGAGAGGGAGAGAGAGAGGGAGAGAGAGAGAGATTATCATTAAGGGGAAGAAAAAAAGTAACGTTCCCAAATCCTTTAACTGATTGCAAGTTAAAGTATTTTAGCTTGTAGTGTTTTCCAATATGATCATTTTGTCTGCCTATAAACTTACCCAGTAGAGACCCAATGTCCCTCAATTATGGGTGGCATCTGTACAGTAATTCGAGCACCATTGTGAAGATGTTTCAGCATATGATGGCACTGTGATTCCTTGAAAGTTCGCCATGCATTCTTTTCTAATGTTTGAGGAGAAGCCCTGCTGTCGTGAAGTGCAGAACCTTCTCCCAGCCCTGGATAATCAAAGATGAAACATAAACATTCTGGTGAATTTAGATTAATAAAAAAATAAATGTATAAAAAAATAAACTCCAGTTGTTGGCAATGAGAGATATCTTCATGTGTGAATGCAGGCCTCTAGAAAGTGACCATCTGTTTGAAAGGGAGATTACAATGAGCGTAAATTTTAAAAGACTGTAGAGCAGTGGTGGCAAACCTATGGCACTAGTGCCAGAGGCGGCACTTGGAGCCCTCTCTGTGAGCACGCATGCTGTCGCCCCAGCCCTGCCTCCCCCGTAACCCCCTCCTCACCAGCAGCCCCCCCAGAGAAGAGTCACCCCCGGGTGCGGCCCATGCAGAGCTGCACAGCCAAGCACATGGCAGCTGGGCAGCAGATGATGCTGCTGGGTGCGAGTGGAGGGCGTGGCCACCATGGTGCTGCAGGGCTGCCTGGGTGATCTGCAACATGCCGTGGATGGCCCTGAGGGTGGGCGGGATGAGGGCAGGGCGGGAGCGGGCGGAGCAGGGGCTGGGCTGGTTTTTGGGCATTCAGTTTCTAAAAGGTTCGCCATCACTGCTGTAGAGATATTACGAAAAGTTAACTGACTGACAGATTTTAATCCTTGGACCCTACATATAAGGAATTACATACATGCTATCACTACACTGAAAAAAAAAGCTTTGTGCAATGCCCAGCTTCCAAATTTAACAACTTGGGGTTGACAAATTCAGTTGAAGCCTATTCTAAAAAATCCTTTTTGTCAATAAATGAGTGCAAGTGTCATATTTGATTTTATGTGTGCAAATATGGATACCTGTCAACAGCTATAATTCCTGCTTCCCCAGCATTTTGCAGAGCTGGGGTGAAAGGAGTTAATATTGACTAAATTAATGGCTATTAAATCAAATTAATTACCAGTAAAATAATTTACTCTTTTTACAAAAGTAATGAAAGTTTACCTATATATTCCAACTATTCTTTGTCATGCACAAATCAATATTACATATTACACACACACATGCGTGCATGCGCACACACGCGCGCACACACACACACACACGTCCTCATGCCTGGCAGAAACAGCAAAATGAAGAAGAAATGGTCATAGGAAAAAGAAGGAAGAGAAACAGGGAGGAAAGAAAAGAGACACCTGTTTATGCATTTTAAAAAGGGTTAAATTTCATAGGCAAACAGCCCTTCCAAGTTACAAAATAATCTTCAAAGGCATCAGGAACATCTGCCGGGCCTTTTGCACGTCATAGTAATTCTTTTTTTTGCCACATTTTTTAAAATTAGTTTATAATATAAAATACAGAAATACAAAAGCAAATAATAGGAAAAGTACGAGAGGAAAAAGGGAAAAGAAAAAGAAAAAAAAGGCATTGATTTCCGATTCCCTTTGGTGCAGTAGAATAAGAAGTAACATCAAACCTCAATTTTTTACTTTTACATAACATTATAAACTAGCCATTTCTATAATAACAGACCTATTTAATCAGTAAAACCCAAAATCAAAGTTTCATTTTTTTCCATCTCAAGCAAATTCCAGAAGCGGTTTCCAAGTAGAAACAAAAGTACTTGTGTTTTTTTCTTTTATCAAAGCAGTCAATTTAGCAATCTCGGCTGACTCCATCAGCTTTTGCAACCATTTGTCTATTGTGGGGATTAAAGTGTCCTTCATTTTTGTGCATAGAGTAATCTTGCTGCCGTCCACATATATAACATCAAAGTTCTCCCCTCAAAAATTTCCAAGTCTTTTTCCATTAAACCTAAGAGAAAGTTTCTAGTTTTATATTCACTTTGAGAATCTTCTGTATTAGACTATGAGTCCTACTCCAGTATTTCTTTGCTTTATCACACATCTACATAAATGATAAAAAATCCTTTCTTTGCATTTGTTGTTAATATATCATCTATAAAAAAATTCTTTTAAATTGTAATTTTAAAGCTTTCATCCACATATTCTCCCATTGTTCAAGCTTTATATTACATCCAAAATTCCTTGCCTACTGAATCATACAATGTTTTACATATTCACTTTCCAAATCAAAGTCAATAATGTTTTGTAGACCCTAGCAATAGGTTCACCACTACCACACAATGGGGGTTCCAATTCATTTTTAACAGAGTCAAACCCATAGCTCTTTTTGTCTAGTTTAAATCTTTCTTTCAGTTGTAAATATGTAAACTAGTGGCAGACATGTCCTTCTGATTCTAGCTCTTTAGATTTGAGGATAGAATCACCAAAGTTAAAAGTTATTATTTTACCATAAGTTCACCAGTCCAGCTTTGTCACCATTTCTTTTCTAAAAAAAGCTTCTTGGGGGGACATCAATACCTTATTTTATATTTGTTCCAGACTCTTAGAATGGCACATCTAACAAAGTGATTGTTAAAGTCAACATTTACTTTAACCTTGTCATACCATAAATAACTGTGCCATCCAAATCTTAACTTATGGCCTTCTAAATCAAGTAGCCTCTTATTCTGGAGGTAATTCCTTTATTTTCAACACCCTCTTTTGTTCTCATTCTACAGGAGTGTTTTTTTAAATAATCAAATTATTTTTTATTGCAGATTCCAATTTCTTTCTCTGTTTATATTTAAATGTCTTGTTTATGCTAGAATGTATTTAGAAATTAGCTTTTATATATATTTGGACAATTTATAGCAGGATTAACTTACTTTCTAGGTAGCACCGATCTGTTAATCATTGTAAAGGGAAAACCAAGTCTTTATGCTCTATTATATACTTTATATACAGTATACAATATCCATAAAACACTTCATACTGTAATACTTTTTAAAAAATATAAATCCTTTTCAAAGTTGAGCTATAGAACTGCCATTTAGTTTTTTTTCTACTTCATTTCTAAAATTCTGAAACTGAAAGAAATCCGAAATGATACAATTATACAAAAATTATATATTCACACCCAATATATGCACAGATCTCAAGATTATACTCACTGAAGTTACAAATATTTATGCAAGGAACATCTGGATAACTATGTATAAGATAACACTGTGCAATTAAAGGGTAAATATTTTCACGAAGGGAAATCAAGACGGCCTATTTGATTCCATGGTTCGATAGGTTTAGCACATACCAGTTTGGTCTAGTACAGTGTTTCCCAAACTTGACCATTTTAAGGCATGTGGACTTCAACTCCCAGAATTCCACAGCCAGCAATGCTGGCTGTGGAATTCTGGGAGTTGAAGTCCTCATGCCTTAAAATGGTTGAGTTTGGGAAACACTGGTCTAGTAGTTAAGGCACCAGTTCAGAAAGCAGAAGACTGGGAGTTCTAGTCCACCTTAGGCCGGAGAACCAGCTGGATGAGACATTGGGCCAGTTACTTACTTTCAGCCCCACCCATCTCACAGGATGGTTGTCAGAAAAACAGGAGGAAGAAGTAGTATTATGTAGGTTCACTACCTTGAGTTAGTTATACAATTAATACAAATAGGATATAAATAAATAAAGAAAACATATAACCAGTGAATATTCACTCTGTTATGACAGTATTGAAATAAAGTTTATCTTTTGCAACATGCTTTTTAGAGCAGAAACTTGTCATACGTTTTAAAAAATTCTGAGCTACATGCAGTGGGGCTTTTCTTTCCCCTGCATCCTAAGTCGTTGCTGAAAGGACTTGCTTTAGAATATTTGTTGCTATATTGCATTTGTTCATAATTTTGGCCAGCCATCTCTCTCATCTGTCAAAAACCTTCAATACAGCCACCCGGAGTAAGTAGGTAAGTAAGTAAGTAAGTAAGTAAGTAAGTAAGTAAGTAAGTAAGTAAATAAGGAAGGAAGGAAGGAAGGAAGGAAGGAAGGAAGGAAGGAAGGAAGGAAATAAAATAAGTGTCGTTAATCATGGTATCCTTCTGGATCAGCATAGGATATTAGAATGGGAGGGGGGAAATGGTGTTAACAGTAGTTTTCCTCCTCCCTTTGGGGTTGATTCCAATCATATTGGTAGGGAGAGAGGTCTAGTTTTAGGCCTTTGCTTTGTGAGGTTCCTTAGAGCTCAACTCTCTCCCTACTTTTATTTCACATTTATATGAAGTCTCTAGATGAGGTGGTTCATTGGTAAAGGATTAAGCAACATCAATATGCTGATGGTACTCAGTTGCACATCTTTATCCCTGGCCAACCAAGTGACTCCACCTAGATTTTTTCCCAGTGTTGAAGGCTGTGACGGTCTGGAGGAAGAACAGATTTCAAAACCAAGTGATTGTGGGTTTTAGGGCCCCTGAGATTTGAGGATTTTCCAACCTTTTTTTTTAATGGGATAGTGTTTCCTTAAACAGAACTGGTACACATTTGGGATCTTCTTGGATTCACAGCACCTATTTGAACAGCAAATGGTTGCTAAGACTAGGAAAGTCTTCGAACAAACCTAGGTTATGCACTAATTGAACCATCTCCTGAATTGGGAAGCTCTGTTCACGATCCCTCAAACTTGATCACCTCCTGTTTGGACTACTACAATGCAAAATATACATAAGTATCCTTGAAGACCACCTGGAAGCAACAACAGGTCCAGAATGAAGTAGTGTGGTTAGCTTGAGGGGCTCTTCTTTGAGACATTGGACTAGGATGTTAGACAAGCCTGTTGAGTTAAGACTGGTTGTGCTTAACAATAGATGTCCTTTTTAAAATGTATTTTATTGCCTTTTGTTTATGTGTTTTTCAGCTGATGTTAGCTGCTGAGAGTCACAATTGTGAGTTGGATGGCCATACAAATTGATTAGTAAATTATTAATAACATAGTAACTCTTCCTACTTAAACCAGAAAGAAGGGAGATTGCACAATGTTGGAACAAATATTTTCCACGTGGAGCTAGTTAATGAAAGTTTCATGGAGCTCTAATGACAGTAACTTATTAAAGCCAAGTTATTAAAGGATAATCTTCTTTAATGTTTTTCTGAAATTCTGTACCTATTTTCCCTATGTGGCTCAGTAGATACCTTCGTATACATCCCTTAAAAATATGTATCCTTTCGC